GACAGAATATGGGATTTAAGAAGGGGTAATTCAGTATTTTTAATTTTATAATTTAGCATTAGATCCTTCTGAGTAGTTATGATGTTTAGGCTCCTCTAAAATAAATATTTTTTCCTTCCTGGTCTTTCGTTGTAGTTTTCCCAAAAAAAATATTGCCATCGCTTGAAAATGTGATTTTGTGGCTCACAAGATAAGATTATTGTTACGTTATTTTAGTCAGACTTTTGTTTTGACTAAATCCAGTACATTTTGAAACACTCGCCAAACCATCTTAAAAAGAAATAAGTGGAAAGACTAATCTAACCTGTTAAAACTAGAGAAATAATACACAATACACTAATTTAACTAGTCATGTTTGAAAAAATGAAGGATAGATAAGGACCAAATTTATAATTCTACAAATGGAACAATGAGTATTCATCATCAGTGGACGTTAGAAATAAAATAATTAAGGGGTATTTAAAAATCCTGAGAATTACTTAAAAGAAATACTTTCACACAAATTGAAACAAAACTCATCTCTCATATTTATTTCTGATTTTATAAAATTATTATTTAAAAGTCAATTCAAACATCTTATTAGCGATTCTGGACACTAAACACAACTCTCCGGCTAAAAAATAAATAAATTATCTTTTAATTTTTGTAACACGGATTGGGCATCAAATAAAAAGATTGATGAGCACATGAACAACGCGTCTATTATTAAATTATGAGCTACAATCTACGTGCGCGATCATAATAAAAAGATTTAGAAATTAAAGAGCATTCACTGCCTCCAATCTTTTTTTTTTTTTTGGTATACTACACTGCCTCCAATCTATCTATCTACTTTATATATAAAATTTTGTAATACCCGGTGATGTCAAAACGGGTTGGGTTAAGCAGTTGAATGGCCACTTAATTGACAGTTAATATGATGATAATGATAGAAGAGGGGCACTATAAACACTATCAGAAAAAACAGAAATAGAGTTTCACAAACAAATTATTTATAGAATTTATTAACATCTGATTTATGCAATGTACGTTATCTTCAAACTAACATTCAACCTCGGGGAGCAACCTCTCCATTGCATACCCTTTCCATTACGCCTCCGTTTAATTGAAACGGTATCGTTTGCTTATTTTAAAAGAAGAATTGGCAGCTTTCTTTCCCAGTCCCGTTTTGTGTGCATCCTAGATTTGGCAAACTGATATCGGGTGATCAACCAAAAATCACCTAGGACAAAGGTGATGAAACATGTAAGAGGCCATCAAAAGTATAAATATAAAATGAAACGATTCTTTCTTTTTCCTGGTTAAACGATCATAAGAAACAACCTACAAAAAAACTCAAAGGATTGCATACAAACTATAAAACAGAGGTATATAACGAACGGAGAGGCAACCAACAAACACAAGTGGTGAACAAGTGAGCAACTTCTTCGATGATTTCTTTTCACATATGACTTGTGAAATTTTTTGGAGACAAAACCCATAATTTTTTGCTCAGCTGCAAAAAAAAGAGAGGCCGAAACAAATTTGGGATGGATGCCGAACGGGATTGGAAAAGAAAGCTGCCATTTTTTCCAAAAAATAAAACACAAACGATGCTGTTTCAATTAAATGGAGGCGCAATGGAGATGATATGTAATGGAGAGGTTCCGCGCTGCATTCAACCTATTTGTTCTCTACCTTTGTGAATTTAATTATTTTAATGTCACAATAATTGTGGCTGTATTTTTAAGATTTCTTTGAAACTAAACATTGATGTTTTATCAAGGAGAATAACATTATAGGTAGTTTTACTAAAAAATTTTATGTGCAATTAGTATTGTCGTAAAATTGTCAACATGAAATACTTGAATCTTATATTTCATTGTCTGATTCATATATAAGAAAAATAATATTTTTAAAAATACTCCCTTCGGTTCAAAATATAACCTAAACTTTATTAGAGGAATTTGATTTTTTTATAAGATAATATTTACTTTTGTCTAAACATCTAATAAGTGTTTCCAATTACACTCCCACACATTCTCTTTCTTTTTTGATTCATTTATTGCATCTTTTACTTATTGTCTTTATTAGCAAGGGTATATTTTGGGGGGAAAAAAACATGTCTTACATATTTATTATTTTAAACTGATTTTAACTAATTTCTTAGTAAATAAGGAGATAAAGTTTATATTATATTTTGAATTGGAGGGAGTAAATAACAAAAGATAAATTTTATTTACAATAGATTAAAAGGGAAAGAATATAATAAAATATTTTTTTTAGCAGTAGTAACTATTTTAATATGTATCATCTTATGCATCGCATGGGGGAGAAAATTCTAGTTATGAGCTATAATCGACAATCCAAACACCGAAAGTTATTTCTTTCAACCTCAACCCATTACATGAATTCAAAACAAGAAAAAGCATTCGGCCATTCCCTGTTGGTATCACTGTCATAATTGATGGATACAACCCAAAGCCAGCGTTCCGAATGGTAGCAGATAAATGAAAAAATAAATAGGAATGATGGGTACTTTAATGAAAATGTCATATACTATTCCCAATCAAATCACTTTAATTTGTGCGCCTAGCATGCGTGTGTCCGTTTATTATATTTGGAGCACGACCTGCCATTCCTTTGCTCTGCTCTGCTAAAATAAAAAAGAGAGGCCAGCCACGACTATCTCTCGTCTGTTTTTGTGAATGGAGAAGCAAGGCCTTCATACTTGATAGCTTATGTTTCAAGCACCAATAACGATCACATGCAAAAAAGAGGACACAGTCTTATAGACTAATATATGTTTGAAAATACGCATCTAGTTAAGAAAACGATCGAGCAGGAATCTAATCCGACCTGTTGTGAGATTTATTTATACCCGAATAAAATACTTTTGAATTAAGTCATCAATTTTTCCAATAGAAATTTTAGAATATCACGGAACCTACACAGCTCCGCTGCCAATAGTATCTTGTTTAATAACAGACAAATACAAGAGCAATCAATAATGTATAATTGGAATTCTAAAGCAGTTTTTTTTCCCTTAGAAAAAAAAAAAGAACGCAAAGCCTTTCACAAAAAAAGGGTTTGGGTATGAAGAAAAATACTTTTTAAAAGTAATTTTTGCAAATTGAGATAAATTTATCTACACATTTACTTCATATACTGTGAAGTCATTTTTAAAATCATGATTTTGATTATATCCAAATATTTCTTAAATCACCACACGAGATGCATTCAGCTTTACTGTGCGCCGCTTGTACATGTTCTTAGCATGCATAATCATGTTTACCTGTCCTCCTTTGATTTCTTCACACAACGAGTAAAGACGATTCTTCATCCACTGATGAAAAGTCCGTCCTTTTTTCTTCGCAGACAATGAGACTAACAATGCCAGGAGCAGTAAACTCCTGCGTTCACAATTGAGCCTTATACCTCTCGTTTTAATCTGAGCCTCTCACACTCCGGCCTCCGTGCTTTCCTTTCCACGTCAACGCATATAATGACACGAGCAATGACGTGCGCGCGTGGCATCCTCCATTTATAATTCGAAAGCTGCATTTCATCCTAATTAACCTCGCTATGTTTTCCTGATCTGTAATTTTGAACTCTGTTGCTGTGGAGTATTAATTAGTACTACGATCTTTCCGGCTAACAAGAAATGGAACCTGCAATTTATTTTAGAGCAGGGCTGTATGGTATGCTCCTGCTGGAGCCACAAGAAGGCAGAAAGGTTGCATGCACGACGAAAGCGGTTAGGTGGACAAATGAGGAGCCATTTTGGGCTTTATTCGGTGGAATACTATATACACACACACATAGCTGGAAGGAGCACAAAGTACTGGATTCTCACTCTCATTCCATCTAACAACATTATTTTCCACGAACTGCACACTTAAAAGATATGCAATACAAACGCATCGAAATGATTCGCAACAGCCGAGACAACTCCACTGTTCCCTTTTTTTGGTTCCCGTTCGCGCTCGGATTTATAGCCTCTATACTTGGTCAATAAATCTCTTGTTTCAAATAAGCGATGCTCAGATCAAACATGTATATCGCTCCTGTTTTAACAATCTATATGGTTAATGATGAATGCCTGGTCATTGTTAGGTATTTTTGTTCGGTGGCCAGTAGATTCCTCAAAAAGAAGAAAACAAGAGAGATTTGTCTCTGGCGTCTTTAATGAAATGGTATACATTATTACATTATACGTGTTATTCGCTAAAACTGAAATTAATTAATACGACGGATGGAGAAGATAAAAGGACGACGCCCACCAATAAGGGCATCATCACATGCTAAATAGATAAATCGATGTGCTGGAAGTCAATCAAAACTGAGGAAAGTAGACGGCAAGTTCAGCGCATCATTTATCTCACCGGTGCAAATGGTTTAAGTAACGTCGACCTGCATAAACAGTTAATCCCATTTTAAATTCCCCATTGGAAAGGAACCAGAGGCGGATTTAAACGGCCACAGCGCTGCATGTGATCACATGCTATAACAACCCCTCGACTCCACCATTCTAGCATGATTGCCACACCCTGTTCCTTTTTTTAATCCCATGTTTGCTTCAATGTTTTTTCCCCCTCTTCCAAACGAATACCTAAAAACCTATCACCTATGAATATGGAATACACATACACTTAAAATTTCGCGGAGAATTGTTTTTCTCATGAATCGAGTGCTTTTCTTCTTAACAGATGGAAAAGTTATATCCCGGAATGCGTATGCACAGATGTGTTACATAAATCAGGTGGGGGGAAGGCGTCGTTGGATGGCGCCATGGTGGACACGCGTCAGAAACCTAACAAGGAAGTGGGCGCTGGGGGGGTTTCAGAGAGGATAGCCATCCCTGGGAAATTAAAGAAAAGGGTAGAAATAGGAAAACCTAGAATTTGCCGTTTAACTGTTCTTTTTAGTGAAAAAGTACTCCAGGTAATGTGGGGCGTTGGACCGGGAACAGGGGGAGTGAGGGGCTTTTATAAGGTGTGCGTGTAAATTTGCAGCCTCCATTTGTCATTAGTCAAGCTGCAGGACAAGTCGGGTCAAAATCGTTGCCCTTCCGCCTGCACCTTCCCATATCCGCGGGGTCTCCTTAAACATTGTCTTCCATCATTGTTCTCGCCGTCCTCTCCTTCATTCTCTTTGTACGTATCTATATACTACCATTCAGCCCGCTGCCTTGCAAGCCCCGAATTTGCCAAAATGGGATTCTCCAAGGAAGACGCATCCAGACGGATATTGAGGGCTCTCAAGACTCTGTTCTTCCTGATCACTATGCTCGCCTCTCTTCTCCTTTTCTCAGCTCCCCTCCTCCTGGTTATTGCCGACGCTCTTCTCCCTTCTGCTCTCTTCTCTGCCATTTCCCCTTCCTCTCCCTCCCTCCAGACTCTCTCTTCCCATTTCCATCACTACGACTTTCGATGCTCTCTCCTCGATATCCCCCTCCTCTCCATTATCAGGTCTTTCGTCATCTTCTGTAAGTACTTCTTCACAGACCTGTTCTGTTTTACCCTTCTTCCGCCCATTTTGCAGTGCAAATTGTACTACAAATGGAACTTATATTTATTACGGAACGAGGAGTACCTTTTAGTTTTTTCCGAGTTAGTTCATATATACACCCTTTCGAATGGAAAGTAATACTATGCGTGCGTCCTGCTATAGGTGTGTATAGCTCGTGTGATGGGCCGAGACTCTCACGAGGACCATATCTGGGGGTAACGACGGCTTGCTCTGTTTTGTCGGTGATATTTGTATCGGTGAAAGCTGCTGTTTATTTGTTTGGCGGGTCGGGTGGAAGAACCGTGAGAGCCTCGGAAATAGCTCTGTTCATGTGTTCCTATGCGCTGGCGGCGGGCCATATCGTGGTTGCCCATCGAACAAGTTGCAGAGAAAGACGGAAGCTTTTGGTCTACAAGATTGACATCGAAGCGGTAAGTGTCTGCATCTCATTTCCTTCGCATTCCAAACAAAAAGTTGCATGTGCATAGCGATCAAGTATATGAGTTTGGGAAATAAAAGAAGAAAGGATCAGTGCGGTCATTAACTGAAAATTTCAAAGAGTAGTTCATTTCCGTTCTCTTCCTTTAGCTGAGTTTGTGCGGTGGGAACGGGGAGGAGAAGTGAATATTGCAGGTCCCACGAAAGTAGCCCTAAAAGACCAGGGAAGGAGTCATGAATACGGCGGAATTTGGGGCTTTTCTGGAAGGTCAATGTTGGGGTTGGGGAAAGCCATGTTGCTTGCGGGCCGCCACCAAATTCACCTAGAATGCTTCAACGCCCGGTTCCTGATCGGCCTCGGCCATACTTTCTTATTTACTCATATGCTGACTTTTCAAGACGGCCAGACTGGTCAGGGGGACCGAAATAGGGCGGCTGAAAAAATTGAAGTGGCTGTCTTTTTTAAATTTCGAGTTCGACCTCTCAAATTTTAAGTTTATTTTTCGGTTAAATTATATTTTATCCTTAAAAAAATAGTAGTTGAAAATTTATTTGTTTTTGATATAATGAGATGAGCGTAGAATTCAAATCATGATGGGTCAATCACTATACCCAACGGTCAAATTTTGCCATTTTTAAATGATCACTTAGGACGTGATCAACACTGAAGGAAGACGTGCCCCCTGACTTACGGAACCGTGATTTTCTTCAGTTAGTTCAGAGAATTCACATGAACGGGGGGGATTACTCGCCGCCCTTGCATAATAATTACTGTTCACAAGTGTATACAAATAGCCGTATCATCGTGTGCCATGTGAGGCTAGGTTCATTTCTTTTTGAGAGATCATAATCTATTTTCATTTTATAACTTTAAGCCGGCACTGTGGCAATCTAATAAAAAAAAATGATAATGTGTGTTGTGTTTGGGTGCAGATTTCAGCCTGCCAGAACGGGCATCCGAGGTATCCCAAGATCCTGCGGGAGGAACGAGTCAAATGAAGCAGCTAACAGCCAGATGAAATATATACATACATTTAACATAGGAGTTTCCAGTCTAGCATCTTCGGCTATTCACACTCAACTGACCAGAACCTCGAGGTATTTTCTGGTGACATTCATTCTAAGATTAGCTCGTACTTTTCTTTTATTTCTCCTTGGTTAAAAATGGAGAAAATGGATTTATATCTGCGCCACCAAATAGGGGCTTCACAGATTGAATCTTAAACTAATGCGCCAAATTTGTTCCTTAAAAGGGCACAGGTTAACCGAAGGATGGCAGGAACCTTGACCTTAGAACGGCAAGGACTAACAATGGGGGAGACTAGAGCTGACAGAGCAGCCGCATACAGACCGTGCCGTGGTTCTAACCTCCATTTTATTTTATTCTGTGCTTTTTGGTTAAGACAAAGTAGTCTATGGTATATTTTGTGTGTTTGGAGCACATGTCACTGTATATAAAAAACAGAGCGAAGGCATTATGTTATTTGCACAGGCCAAAAGGGCCGGTGAAGTTGAGAAATCATCAGTTACCATGTCATGAGGCCACTGACAGAGTATTTTATGAATTCGGCTGTTCATCGTACATCCTGAGGCGCCCAAATTTAATTTGCCTCGCCAATAAAATGAAGATGGTCAATCAATCTCTTGATGACAACTTATTTATTGTAAAATTAAAAAAATTACAAAAAGAAAAAAAGAGAAAAGACGCTTTGACATTTTATGCCACTTTTTTTTCTCCGTCTTGCCCCCCGACGTCATAGCCGGTTGTTTTATGGATCAAAACAACATACAACAATTTGACCATAAGACGTTTTAAATTGTTAGGTGAAAATATAGCTTCACTATCCGTTGTGTAAGGATGGGCCAGATTTACTTCTTCGCAATATGCCCACTATCACGGAGATTTGTTCTCTTTGGATCTAAATTAGAGCTTAAAAAATGAATTTAAGAGAATCCTAAGTACAACCGGGGACCATAGTCCTTTTTTAAAATTTTAAAAACTGAACGTCGTTAGATATCACTGATATTATTAGACACCCTTAAATACTTCCACTCCGAGGCTCCAAAAGATTCGAGGGTTCGATGACATGAGTTGCTGGCATCGGTGCTGGGGGCTGGGGGATGGGGGGTGGGCGATGGGCACCGGCAATATAATCGGGGGGGGGGGGGATTTTGATTATTGACAAATCTACAATTACTGCCGAGCTCCGGCGACCATGAAAGTCACGAGTCAAATTCATCAGCGACTTTATTTGTGAGATTAATAACAAGAACCCCCTCATGTGCATTCAATTATGTGTTGTGTTATGGCAGAGAGGAAGAGGACGCGAGGAGTGGAAGAGTTCACGAATGCGATACGGATACCATAATAAAAACTAGCGTAATGATAATAGTGATGATGTTACATGAAATAGGTGATAGATAATTGGATGCCTCGTCTACAACTTGAAACTCTCCACTTCATTCGGTGCCCTCATCTCTACGCTTCACTATGATCGGATACCTCTTCTGCGTCCTAGTGGTTGGGAAAAACACCAGCCTGTCTTCCTCCGCCACAGCCCAGCTGCATCAAATTCATGCGCTTTGGTTAACACTAGAATTGTACTTTTGATGGATTCATAAACCAATACCTGTACCTGAATTGGGTGACAAAGCGGTGGAGGAAGACAGAGACGACGACTCGGGCGAGCTCGAAGCCAGGACACATCCTGGGCCCTCCTCCGAACGGTGTATACACATTCCCCGGGCTTCCTCCTCCTGCTTCCCAGTTGCTCTGTTTCACCATTTTCACCCAAGTTAACATAGCAGTCTCAGGGCAAAAGGATCTCGTGAGATGAGTTATAAACCTGCCATCTCCATGGATTGAAGGAGCGGGCGTCTTTGAAATGTTGCGAATTTAGATGGACCGCCCGGAACGATGCAAACAGTCTCCATCCCTTCGGAATTGTGTATCCTGTTTATTTATTTCAAGTCGTCTGCTATTAAAATTTATATTCCAAAAAGCTGACACCAAATAGAATGATGTTAAATGTTCTTGTTTTTTAGCTACCTCTCACGTTTACGTCGGTCATTGCCCTCCTGAATATGCCACTAATTATGTTCCCCACCCTCAGAGTCTCGTGAACAACCTATTCATCGGCAGAGCACAAACAGAACACCAGGTTCAAAATCAACATATTCTTTTGTTTGCCGAAACCACTCCAATGCTTCATGCTCTTGATCTGCATTAATTAACGACGACGCTTCCAATGAAATATATACTATATGCACCATACACTTACGCATTGAGTAAATGCCATTGACTTATAATCAGTCCACTCTAAAGCTGCTTCCGGGTCACTCTTCTTTGCTCTGATTTGATCGTGCTCGTCCTGCATAAACGCCAATCACACTCTCAGGAAGACCCAAGACTGAAGCTGTGTGCTCTTAGAGCGACCCTCTTCATTCCGCATTACACAACAATGCAATGACGAACCGATTAATCCAGCTAATGTAACTATCCCAATGCATAAACGGAATAGAGGCGTTGAAAGTCAAAATCAAGGGGCAGGCCGGTCTTTGTCATACACTACTTTTTGATTGAAACAGCAAAGGAATGGGATGGGAAATGTTGCCAGAAAAGAGATAGGGTCAGAACTTGGAAGGTGCAAGGGAGAGGCGTAGTCCCAAGAGTCCTAGGAATCAAAAAGGGTGCTGTGCTTTTCAACGCTAGTCTGCCTCTAGAGGGAGGCTCGGGGCGATAAAGTGACGTCATATACCTCGAAATCAGTGCCCGACTATTGCACAGAGGGCTCACCTGAAGGGACCGAACTGAACTGGTCCATTCCCCACCCCCTCCCCCAATCTCTGATCATTCTGCGACCCAACAAGTCATTCGGAAAATGACGGTGGGCAAATGGGAAAGCTCTGTTTGGGTCCTGTGAATGATGCGTCAGAGACCAGATTCTGAGTCCACTTTTGTGTTGTTTACCTCCCTCCCAATTGTGGTTGTTTTGTCGTTTTTGACAGCACTAGGCTACGAAGCGTGCGGTTTGGTTGTCATAAATTTGTCCCACGCCTGAGTTTCTGACCCATGTTTCTACCTCTTTGACTTTACCCTCTCTTCTTTTGACCGTCGTTTTCGCCAGCCCTCGGGCTAAGCTTTCTCTCCGTCAACTGACTTGACGCCCGAGAAGAAAATAACCCAACCTTTTTACTCTAAGGAGACATGATTGATAAAAAAAAAAATGTACGAGTTGATTCAGTTACGGGTATGGCCTCGACAGTAAATTCTAACGATGACTAACAAAACAAATAATCGTTCTTTTATTTTTAAGTAGCGTTATAAAGCCCAGTGATGAGACGAACAAAGAAGGGAGGGAGTGACGGAGTGGGATTTAATTACAGTTGGAGACACAGTGGTAGATGTGTGGAATTTAGAGACGAAGGCGAAGTGACAATAAAATAAACAACGGAAAGCAGAGCATGCATGAGGGGTAAAAGTACAAAAGTGGCCACGCTGGGCTAACCTCAGCTAAAGAGATAACAACATCCTCGTCTGAGAGAGGCCAATGCATGTGATGAGAGGCAAGAGAGTTTAGAGCAGTAAAGAAAGTGTCAAGGATGCGCACGCAGGCTTTTTGACTGCATGTCTCTGAACATTCAGCCTACGCACAAAATCCAACAAACCCACACCACCACATTCATCCAACTCAAATCTTTTTGACGATTTGTTTGAAAAATCAAAATAGGGTCTATTCCTCCCTAGGCGGCCTCGGGTTTTCCCCTGCCCCAACCTGACCCTCTCTCTCTCTCGCCGGTTGCTTCCCTCTGTTTTCCCCCCGGCATGTCTCTTGCCTTTCTTAAATTCGCTACTTCAGACTTTCCTCCTTCCTTCTTGTGACAACAAAGTCTAGGTTTTTAATTTTATTCTTTATTAATACCACTTTTTAACGAAAACACATAAATGAGTACTCCACAATTTAAAATACTTAACAATGATTAATGTTTTTTTGGCAATAACTGGAAACAGTTGGACGTACCTTGAGCTCCGCCAGGGCAAGAGGGGTGTCGGTGAGGAACTTGACGGCGAGAGTGATGATGGTGGAGGTAGTTTCGTAGCCGGCGATGAGCAGAGCCAGCATGAAATCAACAATTTGATCGTCGGAGAAGCGGTCGCCGGAGGCTAACAGTGCCCCCAACATGTCGTTCATCATTTTCTGTCCCGTCTCGGTCTGTCTCCTCCTCTGCCTCACCACCACAGCGAGCGCCTCCGCCACCTTGGTTCTGGCCTTTATGGCTCTGCGGTATGTGGTTGAGAGGAGACGTACGGGGAGCGTGAAGAATCCTTCTATCACCAGAACGTACTCTTTCCTCAGACCCTCGCTCCATTCCCCTGGATCCAAGCTCATCAACTGCTTCACTGTCAGCTCAAACGTTATCTGAAATAGTTCCGCAATTCTCATCATTTCTTAATCAATTAATTGCCGTCGGCCTAAATCCAAAATCAATAAATGCAGAAATGGAAATAAAACGGGTGATGATATGGTGACCAATGTGATGCCCTGTGCAGGCTCTGTGATGATGATCCGCGCACGGAAGGATTTTATTTGGTTATTGCGTTTAAAAGTGAAGGCCTTTTACCGTTATGTTTTTATCAGTAAATACAAAATCCTTTTATCGTGTCCCGAACGACGGAAGGGAATTTGTCATTTGAGTCCCCTCTTAATTTCCCATCTTCTGATACATATCGACATTCTTACCTTCATTATATTATCAAATAAAACCCCATAATAATCCTCCGCAGAAGATTTTTATTTTAGAATAATAATGATGACCAAAACTCCTTTTTGGGGTGGGGTGGGACGAAAGAAGTTATACAGTGCCAGCTAGGCCAACAGCAGTTAGTAACCTCTGAACTAAATAAGCAAAACCGACTTCCAAGGCTCGCCACCTCCGAAAAGCATGACGGTATTAATTAGAGAGGGAGCCGAAATCAACACGAGGAATCTTTGTCCGAGTTGACTCAGCAGCCATGCTCAGTCAAGTTTAATCGGGGTACCTTCTTGGCCTCCTCCATGAGAAAGACGCGGTCTTTCCAGGAATCCAAGTTGAGCCGGATAAGACGGTCTATATCGACGAGAAGATGTTCTTTGATGATGGCGGAGTTGGCGAAGCTCATTGTGAAGGAGTGCATTCTCTTGTGGAGAGAGCCCTTCATGAGGAGTAAGGAGTGCTTCCCCAGAAGGCTGGAGATCGAACCGGGATAGCTGCAATCGAAGAGCTTCCCTTCGTTGAGGAGAATGAACCGGTTCATCTCCGGGTCAGCCGAGAACACAGTCGGCTCACCGAACACGTGGGTCGTGAAGATGGCACCATAGCGCTTCACCCGTCGGTCGATGAAAGGCTCCGGGTTGTCGCTCTTATAGGCGGAGATTAACTGCAGGGTCTCACCGATGAAGGGCAGCCCGAGGCTGCCTGGCGGAAGCCGCAGCACCCGGCAACGGAGCTGCCGAAGGAGCAATAGAAAGACGGCGGAGAGGCCGAGAGAGCAGAGAAGTGAGAGCAGAAAATCCATTAAAGGAATTTCCTACAGAGGACGAAATCATACAGTAACAATTTGATGTATGGGTGCATGCAGATGGGTGTTAAATAGAGAGCCATGGCTTTGGGCGAGGGGTAAATCCAAATGGGAGGAGGTGAGAGGCCGAAAGCCGAGAGGCACACGAGTGGGGGAAAATAAATGTCGGATTCTTTTGGCACTGACAGCTTTTTTGTTAATTACTTCTCTCTCTCTCTAAAACAACGTCCCTTTCTCCTCTTGTCCACGGCGATGAGACTTTGGCAGGTGGGAAAGTATGGGAAACGCTTTCCCCAGCCCTTTTTCCCCTTTTCGAATTTATTAATTGATGAGGCATACAGAAGGGGCGAGGATAGAGAATCAAACTTTGCGAATGCTTACAAAATGGAAAATTTTGAGAGAGAGGACTGGGGCGTGTATGGGAAATCCGGTGCAGGTGGGACTTTAGCTTCAACAAGGGATATAGCCACAGCTGCCAAGTTAATATGCCACCGCGGGTGGGCTCTCCTCCATAATTCGGATGGGCATACATAGCATCTTACTAAACACAACGGACAAGAGTTTCTGCACTTAATTATTTGCGCCATGACCCAATTCATTAGCTCACATGTATGCCTACTCTCAATATTTGACTTCCAATATTCACATTTTTTTAAAAGAAAAACAAGTAATGATTCCGTCCGGGACTCTATATTAAAATCACGCTGGATCTATGAATTAAGAGGAGTCAAAGTTGATGAGGACTGAGGATAGTTGCCATGCACGGGACAGCATGTGCGCTCAAACTTTAAAAGAGGGACTGAATTAAGTTAATGGGATTGGGAGGCCTAGAGAGTGGGGAGGCGTGTGGTTGTTATTTGTTTATGATGATATGTGGGTGTATATACATATATTTATAGGCCACAGAAAGCTACGGAAAGAGTGAGGTGAGGAAAGTAATGTGGCTGCACACCGGCTTTCATTTTCACAGTAGTCCCCGTTTACACACACTTGGCCCCCAACTTGGATGTTCATCCGAGATCACGCGCGCTGATTGGCCCACGGGTGCAGAAAACAAGCGTCAACAATGTCACTGGCCTACCGAACACTAACAGGCATATGAATTTCAGGTTTCAATTCTGAACTATTCCTCAGCCCAGCAGACGGGGGCTGCGTTCCATATTTGTGTTAAAAGTCGACCGCAGCTGCCCAACAGCTTGCTGGGTACAGTGTACATCTGAATCAGAGAGCCACTGTTTTGCATGAGAGGTTGCGTGCTTTCCCTTCGTGTTAACCAACTAACCAGCCGAACTTCGTTGTGGGGAAATAAATCTGTGAGAAAAGTTTTGTATAAGTAATTTCCAAACAACTCCTTAATAAAATATATCGTGACATGTACAGGGATTCGAGACAAGCTACAAGTGAGAGCTAGGAAAGCGATGGGTCGCCGGGACGCAAATCCCATCTACTTTTTTCAAATGCGGGCGTACATATATATTAGGGTGAGATGCTTAGCCTGTTGATGAACTTATTGTTGGCCTTGTGAAGAATGGCATCATGTGCGAGATATATGGGGCGTCTGACTTTTCAGGCTGGACGCAAATCTTATCACATACCCCAACATTCTCGCTTGGAATAACTGTGGGGCGGCTTAATTAATATTATATCGCGGAGGAGACGTGTATTCTGGGCACCCCTATGGCGAGTGACGAGGAGGGAGAAGAGGGGATAATGATGCGAGGGTTGAGAAAATGAGGATAAGCCAATTGAGAGGCAACTAAGTTGGAGTGTAGGCGCATGCACGTGCCCCCCACGGGTGCCTTTCTCGTCTCTGCTTCCGCGTGCACATGCTCTTTCCCTCCCTTCTCTTTCATATTAAACACAATCATTCTTCTTCCATACTGTTCATGCTCATTTTTAGCAAGTAAAGCAATCCTATATTAGCAGACTTTTAATATCTGGCTCAACAACCTGCATATTGAACTTCCCTCACAATCCAAAATCAATTCGTATTGCAAAGCGCTTGTTCCCACACCATTAATTCCATCGAGTCAACACAAATTATTATATCAAACTGCGATGGATTGAAATAGACAAGTCGAGCGTGTGATAGCCCAAAAACCCTCGAACTCACCACTTCGATATTTATAAATTAACATTTATAAATTAAAAAAATAAAAAAGAGATATATAAATTTTTCTTATTAAATCAGTAAAAAAAAAGACTTCGACAAATAAAACTTCTGTCGTTTCATGCAGTTGATTTCTTTTGACCCGCGAAGACAAAAATAAATCATATCGTTGTTTTAAAAAAATAATAAATTACATAAACGCAATCCCCGAGCTGCTTTCCGCATGGGCAGGACAACGGTCTCATCACTGTTGATTCGTGCTCTATATTCTGTAAATTCACCCGCCATTCAACTTCCCCACCGATTGCGACGATGCGGAATTCTAGTCGAACCCCGAGCGTGCCGGATGACTCACCAAACAGGGCGAGTACATCCGGACCGGTGGTTCGTGCTCAAGCAAGGCAGGCTTTTCTGGTTCAAGGAGTCCAACGTCACCCACTCCTCCAGGTCACGCGGCGTCGTCCCTGTAATGACAGGCGCAGAAGACGCGCTCAACAAACAGTACGTCTTATAGATTTCGCCTCAGTATATTTATTTCTTGATTTGTTGATGTTTTTCTTCAATCGATAAAAGACCAAGTTTAGGGGGAAAGCAATCGTAGCGAACAATAATTCAGAGACTGGTCAACGTCATTTTAAGTTGCCATGAAGGCTTGCATCGTTGGGTAGTCGGAGTTTTAGACAGGAAAAAAAAGTAATAACGGGGATGGAAACACGTGCAATATATATATATATAAATCTCGCATAGTGATGAGTTCCGCTTGTGAGAGATCTAAAATTTCAGAGGGGATACATATTCTCGTGCTTATTGTTTGTAGATCTCATTTATGAACAAAAGCAGATTCAGCCAAGTCAATGGCGCGACCAAGACCGGCAGCTTTGTTTTGACACTCTTGGTGCTCGTCCTCAGGGACACTGTCAGCCACGATACCAGCACCAGCTTGAAGATGAGCGATCCATTCCTTGCGCTGGTTCTTGCCTTTGTACGAGTACATAGTATCATATCTAATTCCTGTTTGAAATACCATTGTCCTGAGAGCTAGCGCAATGTCCATGTCCTCAGTGAAAGAGATCCACCCAAAGCCTCCACTGTAAGGCCCACGCCTCGTCACCTCCATCTCATCTATCAATTCCATGGCCTTCACCTGCAATCATAAATGAGCGCTTCAAATCCCCAAAACTTTGCTAGTTGAGGCTGAAAGGTCACACGACAACGAAGGAGGGCAAAGTTCTACTATAATGTGTGCCTGGGATTTTACTCCTAAAATATGAACATGCAACCACAAACAAAACCGGAAAGTCATGAATTAAAATGCTAAAGACGGCTTTCCCCCCTTCGAGGTAACCATCACCTCAGTGTTATTTTGCTAGAAATCTACCCAATGACCTATCAAAACAATATTGCTTGAGTTTAGCCTAATAGAAAGACACCTATGATCATGAAAAGGAAGCCAAGGAACAAAAGCAAGAGGAGATCAAACATCTTTCATGATCAAGTGGCATGCTGCAGAAACGAAATAGCAGGATATACTTTAACCGATGAGGTAATTTATCCAATACGTAACCCATCTTTATAATTTGGAAAGTGCATAAGAAATTATAAGAAAAAAAAGAGAGAAGTATACCTTTGGGGCTCCACTGACGGTTCCAACAGGTAATGCGGCGCGCAGGGCATCCCATCCTGTCAAATGGTCTGGCAACTCGCCCGTGACCTTTAAAAAAAATAAATAATTTATTACTTGATAAATATCGAGTATTGACTCATAATTTAACGCATGCTTTATACATAATTGTGTCAAATTGGACCAATGGACACAAAAAATCAAACTTTAATCTCACTTCAAGGTCATACTGCCAATAGTGAACACTGGTTAATATAAAAGGCAATTTATCCCATAATCATATCAAGAGCTAATAGTTTCTGTTTTTTCCCCTTCCCATTTTTGTTCTACTTTTTGCTACTTGAGTTAAATAAGACAGAGGGAATAAGTCGAATCCTTAATGACCCTAACCAATGCAACTTGCAAAGGGAACCTCCTGTAAATTACTCAGAATACTAACAGCCATCGAGCAACGAAACATGTTCTCACCGTTGAGCTTATATGCATGACATGGGAATACCGTTCAACATTCATAAGCTTTTCCACTTTCACAGAACCAGGTTTTGAGACCTGAACACGAAATTCCAATAATCAGAATCATCACAGTAGCCGAGTATTCATCACAAATCAAGCAAGTTATAAGACAAACCTTCCCAACGTCATTGCGTCCTAAATCAACAAGCATGACATGCTCCGCGCATTGCTTTTCATCACTCAGAAGTTTCACCTCTAGCTTCTTATCTTCTTCTAAAGTCTTGCCCCTTCTAATTGTCCCAGCCAATGGACGATTCACTATCTTATTCTGTTGATGACATGATCGTGATAAATTTCCCAATTCAAATAAAGGACAGAGTAATTTGATAAAACTAATATGACGCCTGGGTATATCTCCGACAAATTCAATCAGTATAAAGCTACCTTCTTCACGCGAGTAAGGATTTCAGGACTCGAAGCAGCCAGAATACATCCTCGAGCCTGTTTGAGCAAATACAAAATTATAACGACAGCACAAGTATCTTATGAACCACAACTTTCCCGATTGAATATTATAACAAGCTTCACGGAAATAAATACAGAAAGAACCAGTGACTGAAGAAAACCTGCAAATAAGCCATATACGGACTCGGATTGACAACTCTCAGTGCTCTATATATTTCAAACGGATCAGCAAATGTTCTGCGCTCAAAACGTTGACTTAATACAATCTGGAAAATATCCCCTGCCTCAATATGTTGTTTCGCCTGAACGACTGCCGCCTTGTATTCTTCGCTTGTCATATTCGACGTCTTCAAAGGAGGACCAAAACGGCGAGTCTGCAAATTCACATCACCTGGAGATAGCCTTGGGCTATCAATTCAAAATTCAAAATCAAAATCAATTTGACTTAAAAATTTTATTTAAATTATTAAATACGATGATGGATAACTTACGGCTCGACATCTTTTAATCTTGACACTAGCTTTTCTAGCCGTTCCATCCCCTTTTTGTAAGCTTCCTCGGCAGAGGAGTATCGGTCCAGCTTCACCCAATGAATTACGTATGCTTTCTATTTGGCATTAAGCAGGGAAGAAATTGAAACAACCAAAAAAGTGTTCAAGTTAATTCAGAGATCATACGTCCTTGGCATTTCAGTAGCCGTTGGATAATCATGAAATTTGAATGTGTTGAATGCAAAATGACCAATCATATCAATTCCATAAGTTATTCAGTACCTACTCAATCACAGTGATTCTCATGAATTCCATCCCACACATAATGTCTAAACCTATATGCGTCCAACATGTCTCACAGAAGGACACTGCGAGACTGCTCTTCAGCCAATAACTAACTTTCACCGATGAGAGAAATAGCGAAGGAAAAGATATTTAGGCCATACCATGTCATGGAAATGATCTCAAGCATATACTGCGAAGTAAGAACACAGACCTATGTCATCACTTATTGATGTTGCTTATGAAGCAAAGAAGTAAATACCTTCTCCACATGATCAAACACAACCACATCATCATAGAGGCCCAGATGTATGTCCGCAAGGTGTCTGTCGTCCTCCGGAGCCTTTGAAAATGGTAGCTTTTTCTTTTCAACGTAGCGAACTGTGTCATATGAAAAATAACCCGCCCAGCCTCCTGTAGCAGCAGCTTATGCTGATTAGAGTTTTGCAGATAACGATTATAAGCACAAGAAAATTGCGCAACAAATGCACATCTTATACCCAAATTAAGATAAATAGGTAAAGGCCCATATAAGGACAAAAAACAGTGGCATGTTCCTGGATTTGACAGAACACTCGATACAAAATCTTATTCACAAGCAGTTCATTTAGGTTTTGCAAAGTCACACGGTTCAATTTTCAGAACCCATCGTTATATCCAAAACGCCACAGAGAAATGATGATATATAATGCATTGAGAAATTTCAACCTTCGAGGAAAATGGTTTTTTTTTTTTTTTTGCTTGAGGGAAAAACCAACGTGCATTGAAATATGTAAGCGTTTCCAAGCGTGCATCTTCAACCTATCATGCCCCAGCCTTTAGGATTTTTCATTTTCTTCAGGTAAAATGTACGTCATTCAACACACCACCTGTCAGCATCCATGCTTTATTCATGCAATCAGATAAAAAAAGTTCACTCTCATTGCCTTTATATATACTCGTATAACTATTTCTAGTTGCTTTCAGTTTGGCAAATAATATTGAAATGTATCCATTTGTTTGTGCCATGCCCTCTTTCCCTGATAAGCTGAGAGAGAGAAATCAGTATGAAGTGTAAAGGTCCATTCTTGGAAAGACCCCGTTTTCAGAGCACGGGCGCCATAGAAATAACATGTTGTTACACCTACCGCAGAATGCATCCGGAAGCTCGTCAGTGAGACAGGGTTTCCAACCCTTTGAGATTCTTCTGGGAATCGACATTGGATCATCAACAATTTCCTCAGTCAGATGCCCAAATTCATGGTCCGTTATTGTAACTTTATTCTCCTTTGCCACAATTTCCATGACTGGTTGAGCCCCGACAACACTATAGCGGCCCTACAACATATACCAACCCATATTTCGATATATAGGCAAACAACTAGTAAATTCAAAATCACGAAGCTATGCAAGCACTCACAACAGAAACTTGGACATTAGGCTCCACAGATTCAAAGAGAAAGCTCGGAGCCTCGCGGTCATCTTCCTTAACCAAACATCGGTATGCAAGAACAGGGGTAAGCTGGTCAGCGAATATGCACTGGTAGAGGGGAATCAAATTTCCATGTTTTGAGGCTTCAACAAACTTCCTGCCGGCTTCATCAACTGCTAAAAAAAGGTAAATGCTCAGATGATTCATGAAGACCCGCCTCCTCATTCCATAAATTTTAAACTTTCAGAACGAAATGATCGCCCATATGATATCAAAGTTTCTACAATCGAATTCAATAATTTGGTCTTTATCACTTGCATTCTCTAAACTATCGACAGTCGCATCATTCCAAACAAATAAAATGCGAAGCCACTTTAACAGAGCTTTTGTTTTTTAAACGAAAATACCAAAATAAAGCATATTCCATGCCAAATCATGGGGGAGGAGACTGCGCCCTATGTTTCAGATCATTTTGGCTACAATTTCTTGAAAAATGAATATTGAGGGAAAAAATAAGGAACGCGAGTAAATGCTGACTCACCAGTGGATGGGATGGAAAGGGACGAGGACCTGATCGTAACAGGAGCAGATGATATTGAGGTTCCCAAGGAAATGGCAGTGACCGGTGGCGGAGAGAGGCGGATGTGGAAGGGAACCAAGCGGTGGGAGAAGCCCAGGGCGGGGACTGTGAAGTTATTGGCAGACATGGGGATGGATGAAACAAATCTGGAAGCCATATCCTGAAAGGGATTTGCAGAAAGCTGCTATTTGTACCGGGAACAAGCCCAGGGTTGGGTTTTGCTCCCTATTTCCACGGGGAAGGGAATACGCCAGCTCCGGAAACAAGAGGAATGACAAGATATGTAAAATCAGGATCTAGATTTGTTACCATTTCAAGAACCCAAAAAAGCAGGAAAGAAAATAGCACACTGCATAAAAACGCTCTCGTTCATTTGCTCAAAAAGTTACGGAATTATAGATGCAGTTCTTCAGTCAATTAGTCGAGATACGTTCATAATTAGTTTCCGGCGGAAGATTGCGACTTGCGAAATTCTAGTACTATTTTCGTACTTATTATAAAAATTAATTTGATTTTTAATTTAATTTTAAATATAAAATTTCAATTCTTTTATTTTGTGTCTAATATTTATATACTCTTCCGATCCTTAATATAGGACACAATTTTTGAGTTGATTTTGGTCTTAAATATAAGATCTATTTCTCATATTTATCAATTTTCTTTAAATTACCCCTATGGATACTCCTTCAATCATAATCAAGTAAAAGAGGGAGAGAGGGTATTAAGAAAGATGATTACGGTGTTTTAGAAAAAATGTGTCACTTTTCTTATAATTAACTAACGTACCTAACTTCTTTAATCTAATTAAATTAATTAAATGGGTCTTATATTAAAGACCAGAGGAGTATTTTTTTAAGATAGTCCCTATAGTAGTTACATATGATATATTAAAAGTTTTATAACATAATATAATTAGCAAGAATATTTTAAAAAAATCTGTTTGTTATAAATAATCAATTTAATTAATTTTTTTAATCTAATTAAATTAGTCAATTAATTTTTATATTAAGAATAGAAAGTAATAAAATATAATAGGAAAACTGATTAACTGATTTTGAAACATCTTTGTGTGTGCCCCTTTTTTTTCAATTGTCGTAATAAATCAAAAGCGTCCTTCAACATAATTACAATTTTTTGGAAAAAGAGAAAAATAATTAGGACAAATCCGACGTTATACATACAAATATCTAATTAAAACTAAAAATAGCAACAAAAAAAAAAATGAAGCGGCTGCTTTACGGAATTGGCGCGAGAGGCATATTGTTTGAAGCGAACGATTGATCTCTGTTTCTCCTACTGATATGTGGCCTAGAATCTGGTCTCTTCTGATACTTTGTTGTTGAATTGGCCGCTTTTTACACTCCTCTCCCCTCTTTTGTTATCTTAAAATTTTGAATACTGTAATTCTTTTTGATCAAAAAAGAAAACAAACAAATACAAAACCCCACTAAAAGTCTACGTCAGAATTTAAAAAATCAGTAAGGAAGTCCGGAGGGGAGCTGAAACACGTGAAGCCTTCAGCTGCACCTAACGCCCATTTAGCGAGACAGAATACTGTAATTCTACTTTTAATTATACTTGCCTCACTTTTATTTATTTCAACTCTTTATCATCTTTTGATTAAATTTATATATTAATATTGTGGATTATTAAAATCTTAAAATTTCGCTTTTGATACTTTGTTGGTGGCTACTTTCTGCGCTCTTTTATTTTATTTTATTTTATTATCTTATAATTTTAAATATTGCAATTATAACTCTAATTATGAGTGCCTTATTTTTTATTTGTTTCACGTCTTTATTATCATTCGATTAAATTTATGCAGCAACACTACACAATATTGAAATCTTCAAATCCCATGTCTGATATTTTGTTCATGGGCTCTTCTCGCATTCTTTTATCCTATTCTTTTGGTGGATTTTTCTCCTATTCTATTGTTTTAAAAGTTCACATACTATAATTTTAGCTCTAATTATGCATGCCTTGCTTCTATTTATTTCACGTCTTTATTATCGTCTGATTAAATTTATATACCAAACATTGCACACTACTGAAATCTTGAAACTTCATTTCTGATACTTTGTTGATGGCCACTTCTTGTGCTCCCTTCTTCTATTCTTTTATCTTGAAATTTAAAATACTGTAATTCTAACTCTAATTGTTCGTGTCTGGCTTTTATTTATTTCACATCTTTGTTATCTTTCAATTAAATTTATATATCAACACTGAACACTCTTAAAATCTTATTGTCTAGTGTCTGCATTTTTTTGCCAAAAGCCTTGGACGCTTCTATAGAAGTAGGAGGTCACAATTTGATCCTACTTAACTTCATGTCGTTAATACTTGACTCTTTAGTTAATTAAAAAAAAAAAGATTTCGTGTGCATTTTAAGAGATATGTATCATCTAGGTGTGATAAAACATGAGACCACATATAATTAAGATTATTTTGTTATTATCATAAGATAATAGGTTATTTAATTTAAATTTAGGCCTCGTTTGGAATCACGATGTGCCTCGCATTTTGATCCACCGGCATGAAGTCAAATCACCTACTATGAATAGAACTCTGTTAGGAGTGGTAATACGGGCCAACTCACGGGTTGCGGGTTGGCCCGTGACAAGTTTAACCCATATAGATTAGGTTGAAAAGTATCGTTTGAAGGTGGAGTGGGTTTTAGCCAACCCTAACTAACCAAGGTGGGTTGGTGGGTTAGCCCACCAACTAACCCACCAACTCGCCAACAATTTTTTTTTTGAATTTTTTTATCTTTTAATTTTTTTCTTATTCAATATTTTAAAAATATAATGATATTTTTATTTTTATTTGAAATATTTAACTGAAAGTATCAAATAAATTATATAGGTAATTTTTAAATATAATATTATATAATAATACAATTATAATAATTTTAAAAATTTTAAAAATACAAAATAAATTAGGGTTAGCTCACGGGTTGCGGACTTGACAATACGGATTGAAAAGATTCGTTTAATGACGAGTTGACTTTTAGTCAATCCTGACCTGTTATTTTTAGCGGATTGATAGATTGAACCCATATTATTAGCAATAAACTCTGCCCATCACTCACACTCCTTTTATAGACGAGTACATGAATTGATGCCGAGGCATCTAAATCGACGTAATTCATTGAGCATTGCAATTAAAACATTCAGAGTTCAAACCCCCGCCCCTCCTGAACATGTACGGCATCTATTATTGCTTCAATACGTTCTCCCTTTTATGTTAACTACGGCACAATACACGCCAGATTCCTAACATCATTCTTTTGCCGAAATATTCCCAATCGGCGCCATTGCAGGGAATTTGAGACATCTTTATTTCATCACAGGCAAGTGGCAATTACAGAGGACTATCCTGGACATAAATTAATAGTACAAGGAAACATGAGAATTAATGGAGAGTAAAGTGTGTATATAGGTTCCTGGGATTAAACAAAAATACAGCTCCCGACGGCGACATATCAGTGAAGTGAAGTGTGGTTGGAGGGACACTGGTAGCACTTGGCGAATAGACCGAATGTGTCAACCTGCTTGATGAAATTGGCCATGCTCGCCCACCCACCAAACCCAAAGCCAACCACCAGCACCCACACCACCACAAATGCATTCACCACATACATCGCAGTCCAGCTTCGGATGAAAGCCGGCAGCTTCTCTGCCGCATTCTGTCGTGCCGACGGGGACCTGTAAGTGAGCATATGGGCCAGAGCAGGGATGATGTACACGGTGAAGCTGACCAGAAGAGCTCCTACCGCCGAGTTTATGGGGCCGAAGAAAGGGAAAATAATGGCCAGAAACCATATTGGTATAACCACAGGCAAGCGAGCGAGGGCTCTCACGCAAATGCTCTTCGTGTCGTGCATTCCTATCACTTTCTCCCACACGAAGTACAATGGGGTGCATGCAAACCCGAATGTAATGAACTGCCAAATTACATAAAATTATTTCAACTTGAATTCGTACGCACTTGGTCTCTATCTTTGCAAAACTTACCTGGTGAATGAGCATGAGAATGATAGCGGCGTCACGCCAAGGGGAGTGAGGGATGAGGGAGAAGGCGTTGGAGTGGTCGAGAAGTTTGTCACCGAAGGCCCAGTAGACGGCTGCTGCAGATGGTAGTGTCAGCGTAAACACGTACAGAGTAGCAAACAAATATACGTATTTGAACTTCTGAGGCTTCCACATCGCGTGCATGATTTCCCTGCATCAGTCATTTCTCACTTGTTACTCCATACTTCAATTATTAAACTAGCTTCTTCTAATTTCCGTATTCCGTATAATTATATATCATAGGTTTGTTAGTCCCTCTACGGTATTTGTTCCCTGTACTTGCCCAGGAAAGCTAGGGTAGTTAAAGGTGATAGATATCCTTTTTGTCTTGCGTCTGGGGTCCCACTAGAGCCAAGGGAAAAAAAGCTGCAAGCGAAGAAAGTTGGGTGTGCGATGAACTTGTCTTGCTCTAGTCGATGATTGTCTCAAGCAATAAAGAAAAACATCATGATTTATTTGCCTAATTCGACAGTGGAAAGAAGAAAGGAAAGGGAAAAAGAGGCTACACTGTAACGGCGTGGCCGCCGAAAGTATAGAGAATGTTGGTGGCGCCTGTAAAATACAAAACCAACTTGGTGGGGCCGGAGTGCGTCACATTTTCAACCTGCAAAGCGTTTTTGTCGATGAAGTTTCAGATTGAAGAAGGGCTTCAGCAATGGAGGGTGTCAGTGGGTCTGAAATACCTACCTGGCCATGAACAAGGGCCGCGATGGTCAGATACCAAGCGGTGTAGGTGGTCATGCCCAGCCCAAGGAAGGACCAAATCCTGTAATTGTGGAATGAGGGTATGAACACCGTCGTGGCACAGCATGCTCCGAAAATGTAAGTCCATGTCCTCTTGTCCAATTTGTCATTTATGTAGTATATGTTACTGCAAAAGGATGCCCAGGTCGTTTACTTGTGAAAGAAATCCCCATATATATACCCCAAGAAACCGATAACTACTCTGCTTACAAATACCTTGCACAAGCTATAAGCTGGATGACAGATCCAAACAGGAGAAAAGTACAGTTGAAGGCCAATCCTATTGCTTTCCAGTATGGACCCAGTAAACCATCCAACACTTCGAACCACTGCTCAGATTGAAACCAAAAGCTACGGCACTCGATCTAAATGGAAATCCAGAGTAAAATGGTTTTTGGATGATTAACCTGAATGACATGGTTTTTGAAGCTGACGTTCTCTTTCTCTTTTCGGCTTCTGTACTCGATGTACAGAATGCTGATTATATAAGCAGTCCAGCTACCAAGAAGGCCATAGAAGACTTGAAATATGATGCCTGAAAGCATTCCAAGTTGAGAGAAAGAATATGGCAGAGTTAACAGAACCTGGGCAACCTGCGGGGCACAAAACCGGAAAAGGGATATCGAAAATCTCTTCCACCTTCCGAATGAATCCTTAAAGAGTTAGAATTTCATGTTTATCACCTGATTTGACGCACAGCTGAACCAAGCATCGTAGACTGACCCGCCGTGCCAGAGAAGACTTTTGAGGCTGAAAGATGAACTGTCCTCCTTCTCTCCCTCTCCTTCTTCATGCTCAATCGTCTGATTAAGGCTTGACATCATGGATTCTTCGGCTTGTTTCTGAGGCAGCATTGTTGATAGGTTATGAACTTTGGAAACACCTGCACAGAGTCAAGCATGAACCATTCCCAGAAAAAACTCAACAGAAGGAAATCGCTCTCGTGGAGGATATCAAAATCAAGTTACCTAGTATTGGTCGATGTCGCTCTGTACTGTAACAGAGGAAGGCAGGGACCAGTCAGTGGAAAATAAGGTAGGTATCTTGTGAATCCTTCTAAACAACTCTCTCCAGCATCCAGTTCAAAGACCTGACATGTCTTAAATATACACGTGAGCTCTGCACATGGAATGGAAAGTTGGAAACCCAGCAAGCAAGAAACCTGTACTGCTTATGCTTCCTCTAAGATGATTGAAAGTTTTTTCTTGTCGGGATGACAAAGAACCAAAATTGAGGCCTTTGATGAACGTTGAGCCTGAACTTTGGATTTAGAGGATCGAGATCTTACAGAAAGAATTGAAGAAACAAATACGTCAAAACTATCTCCTTGCTTTAGCTTCTCTTATAGTGTGTCCTTGCTCTCTCGCCCTGTTCTTTTTTCTTTTTGTTCTCGTTTGGCTACGGCCGTTTAGACAGACTGATCAGTGAAAGCGGCAATAAAAGTAGAATTATTTTGTAGAAATTTCAATTTCATTATAAGCTGGAGACAGAAAAGAAAAGAAAAATAGACCATCACATACTCAATAAATGGCGTTTCAGCAGTAACGTTGACGGTGAACTGTTTCTGTTTGAGATCTTCTCTTAGTTTAATTTTGTCCCAACTTGTGTAGCAGGTGGTGGGATTAAAAAGCAGACAACAAGGGAAGAAAGGAGAAAAACTCAATCATCGCACGCATTTCCCGGAAGCATGAAAAAAAGTATCAATTTTATATATCGATAACCCTACAAATTCGTTCCCCGAAAGCTTTTAGAATTTGACATTGTTATTTACTGTCGTATTTTTTTAAAAATCTAATAAATTAAAATCAAGTACTAGCACTCAAGCATGAAAATAAAGAAACGAGTACAGCTGTGCAAGTGAGAAATCAAGCTCGATATCATGATAATATTAGGAGAAGCCTCGACTTTAACATGAGAAGAGAAAAAAACAAACAGAGAGACAAAAATGTCTCGTTGGTAAAAGAATTTGGTGAACGACTCCTTTCGGTAGTCAAAAAAGCTAGCAGCATGCATTCGAACTTTCATTTTAAACTAAAAGGAGAAAGAAAATGTAGAGCAGTATCACAATTAGCTTGGCTTATGATTGAGGTTAATTAACATGCTCAGTGCATGGGTGGGACCAGCCTGATTCAAACTGGGCTTAACTTTTCCTTAATATGCTGCTTGTCTCCCATTTTCCCCCTGACTCTTGACTAATCATTTGCTTCAATGGTAATTTAGCATGGTCTCTGCCCTCAGTGGATTCATTCACGGGATTGAGCATTATATCCTATTCCCTTCATATACTTGAGCCTCTCAAATTCCATTCCATGGAGCATAATTTGTGCATCTCTTGGCAGTTCCATGCGCCATCCAAGGATAGGAGAATCTTTTTTATAAGCTCCCTCCAACTTAACAAGTCAGCCCATTTTCTTTTGTAAAACATTCTATTCAAGTACCAAATGTTGATTTTCTCCTACATCGGTAAGTAATTGGCAGTATTTGGCCTGTGAATCATGAACAAGTATAATCTTCTGTGGGTGAATCATTCTTTATACATAATTCGGGACTGTAAGTGGTGAAATACGATAAGGGCGAGAGAACTTTGGGATCTTATTTATTTTTTGTGTCAAGTTTCGAGGCAAAAACGTCTGAGGTAATCCACAAGTTCGGTAAAGCATCACATGAAGCGTAGATTAAAATCAACACGCAAGCTCGAGCCTTGATTATTTTCTGGGGTTTTTTTTTTTTTTTTTGTGGGGTTTTCAAGATCTTGCAAATTCAGCAAATTGGAAGCACCGCCACGATTCTAATCATATCAATGTGACAACAATTATTGCGCTGCTGCTGCGGGATTTATATTTGCGTATTTAAGTCATGCATAACCTAAAAAGAGAGGGTCCGAGCTTAAATTGATGATTAGAAGGAATAATGGAGGTGCCCACCAAAGAGAAAGATCTATTATTAAGAGATATACACCAACGGAAAGGGAAGTGTAGGATTTATTTGCCTTTCCCCCCCCTATCTTGAAAAGCTTCCTTTTGAATTCTCATCCTTTGCAAGTCTCAAGCTTTGCTTTTCGTTTTTTCCTTTTATTGCATGTTTGGTCTAGCTTTTATAATTCTAAATTAAAATCCCAAAAAAAAAAGTTGGAATCCAAAAATCGGTTTTAAGAATGCTAATCCAAACAAACACTTTTAGGGCTAAAAGTCTAAAACTTGTGTATTATTCTGCAGCCGTTCCATCTTTGGAGTGGAAAGTAAAATGAGAACAACTCCCATGACATGGGCTTATGGTAATTTAGTACCCAATATGCAGGTGTAATTAGGTACAAAATAGAGTTCTGATGAAAATGCGTGGTGAGATAAGTATGAAAGGGAGGGGTAGGACCAGGAATCATGAATGCTGGGCATGAAGTAGAAGTATATATATCCATCTTTAATTGGGAGGCCACTGAGCAGTCTATAAAGTGATCATATCATCAATTCCCATTCTGGGATTCATCATTAGAGCAATGTGAGTGCAGGTATTTGAATGCTGGGGCAACCCCAACATGATTGGTTCTTTCCCTTACTTGGGATGAGGTTCATATATATATATATAGAGAGAGAGAGACACACACACTGACACTCACAATGATAGAGTATATATGTATATGAAGTTGCAGTCGAATAGGATATGGGATAGGTGACTGAGTTTAGTTGAGGGAACAACATGCCATGTATGATTCGGTTAATGAATTGTATCGTTCTCTTTCATTATGGGAGTATGGCGTTGGCCATCATTTTGGTCGCAGCCGCATGTCTTCGAGTAATCACTGCTCCACTCATTTGAAGGCCTTTTCCCTCTGTCGTGCCATGCATGTATGAGGCTTCCCAAATATTCAGCTTCCCACTCATTCATCATTGCTATATTCGGCTTAATTATAAGGATTAACTTAGTGCATCATTAATAATAACGGAGAGAGGACCTTTTCAACACAAGAGGGGCGGCATCTGAAGACAAATGAATCCTCCGAATTAGTGAAATTCGCTATTGGATTGATGAGAAGTGATCTGCTAAAGCTTCAGCTCATGTCCTTAGTTGCCATTCCTCTCTTGCTATGTTCCCACTTTTCTCTTTCTTGGATGTTTAATTCTTTTTTCTTTTAAAAAAAAAAAAATCCTCTATCTTCGCGGTACTTTGCCCACCATCACCATCCTTTATGTTGATGCGCCCTCCCCTTCTCTTATTCCTACTTCAACTTCATCCCATCGCTTCTTCATCACTTTCGATCACAGACGTTATTCTCATTTTCTCTTTAACTGACCCTGCCTCTGCCTTCACGACATCACCTTCTGTCCGTATGCTTCACATTATTCGACGATCGCTCTGTCTACCCCACCACTCATCCAGTTTGCTTTGCCTGTAGATTTTCAACTGTTATGGGCGGTAAGATTTACATTATATCCTCTTCAGACTCCGACTACTAGTTATCTGCCAACACATCGATCTGCGAGCATCGTTGCTATTCTTCTTTATTTTCAGTTGAATACCTAGAAGTGACGCTTTCCTAACTACACGCTTTACTGTATAAAACTGGGGGCAGAGTTGTTCTAACATGATTAATTAATAGTAATGCATAGAATTCAGACGCTCGATCTATCCTGGCCCTATTAGTCAGATAACTCGATTGCCAAACGCGTTGAAAATATGAAACCCCGAGGGGGGAAAAAAAAAAATCCATGTTCACGTCACCCCTCATTAAGATAAGCAAATATAGGATGGTTGAATAAACATGACACTTAGTACATGCCTAAAGATAACTCCAAAAATAAACCTTGTGATAAGACCTCCTATCTTTAATAAAATTAGTTTGAAATATCCATGCTTACTATTGTTCTTCAAACTAATTTATCTAATTGATATATAACTTAATAATGCAAATAAGTATTTTAGGAATATAATGAGATATATATTATAATTAAATAATTTATCTCATTTTTTTAATTTTTAAATTAGTGAACGAGATCTTATATTAAAAACTAGAGGTAATAGGCAATTAGCCAAAAACAACGGAAAGTCGTAGCCACCAATACGATAACTAGCATGCATCGGCAATACGTGCGCTATGATCATATTGATAAAACATACTACCGTCTTTCTCCGTCTTTTACCCAAGGTAAAACAATCAGGGTCCTTTCGCATCATCAATTCACCATACCCAGCACTCGTAACATTTTTAACTTAGCTTGCATAATCTGCATTCGACTATGAGTTTTGGTGTATATATCGCCATCCCAAACGACAGAATCTGGGAATGCAAATCTTTACAGATCAGTGGCGCCCTCTCAACTTGTGAAGGGGGGGAAAAAAAAAAACCCATCTGTTACACGTATAACTCTTCATTTGGCTCCCTTACCATTTTTGCCTCGCTAGATGGAGGAAAACAAACAAATCCAAATAAGCCACCACCAACGCTTGTGCGATTGGATAAACACGAGTTATTTAGGCCACGAAGAACATGAATATTAGCAGAAAAAGTATCAGAATAGCAAATATCTTGATCAGAAGCCACCTATTCGATGATATTTGCCTGAGATGCTTCAATAAAGAACTGTGAGCTCCTTCAACATTTGCCAATGACTCATCCATGTTGTCGTCAATCCTGCCAATTCAAGTTTGATAGAGTTGATTGAGATTGTTGAACATGTGAACAGCTTGGAATGCCTGAGTACAAGTATCGAAACAATCAAGTCAATTGAGCCAAACCTGATAGCTAACTCCCCTTGATGAGCAACCATTGTGGCCAAATGAGTGAAGATCCCACTAAGTTCTGTGATAGTAGATTCCACACTGTGCAGAGCAGTAGCACGACTCTGACTAAAACTTTCTTGTCTCGAGACAACTTGCTGCATCATAGACATTTCCATTTGCTGGGATGGAGTGTTGTCAGCAGCTAACCTCCGTCTGCATCAGCAAGATCGGCAAAAGTTGCCAAGTATTATGTCTATATATTAGACACGGACCATCCTCTCTATATCACGTTATTTTGAATTGCCTATCAAATCATTTCATTCAATGGCTTTGTATTGCCACGGTTTTGAGGATCAGGAAGCTCCTTCTGAATAGCCAATTTGTTTTTTTTTTTTTTTTAAATGCTGTCATATTGCAAGAGAATTTTTGAAGAAACCATAGACTCAAGCTTAATATACAAAAATCACAAAACCATTTGGAATCGGAAACCTACAAAAATTAATTTCAGCAAGTCTTTTTCCAATAAATCAATTTAACAGTTATTCAGCCCACATTTTGCCTTTTACCAAGCAGGTGATCCAAAAGCACGCTTGGAACATTAATAGTTTTAAACCCTCCATAAGTACATATCGCTTTGGGTGGCCATGACAATAGGATTCTCCAGATTAGATTATTTTGATATTCAGGTGCATAAGCCACGCACATAAGAAATATGAACATAAGGTTTACAATCTTAGAACATTCACAACCCATGTGGCCAATACTGCAAGTATGCCAAATATGACGACCACAGAATTTTAAAGTATGGCTAATACGTGTGAGAGAGAGAAAAGGAAAAATGAGAGAAATCTGAATATTATTTCTAAATTCATAATGGACTACACTTGTCTTTATATATACATCTGCTATACATAAGTTAGTGATAGCTGTAAACTAAAACTGTCTAACTAAATCAGTTATTTTTACTCTAATAATGGCAAAACAAAACACTGAATATGGTCCATGTTATATAGAACAGTAAAAAGGTCAACTTAATGTTCGATTTCAAAGTAATTAGAGCATACCTTAATTGATTGCTCGGTGTAACTTCATTTGAAAGGGATCTGTTTGAAAAACATAGATAAATACAAATCAATGAGTAAAATTAGACTCCCACAGGTCAATCAATTCGAACATTTGGCCAACAGAAATCAAACTTAGCAGGTCTGATATTTTTAAAAAATTTAACAGCAAGACAACATGAGATCAACAATAAAATGAAATCAAATACAAGTGTCTTGTTTCTGTTAGATGATTACCACATTGATTACTAATTATCTACTTATTAAAGGTGCAACAGCAAAAGTCAAGCTTCAGTATTACATTGTGGGCATTACAAGACCTGTTAAGTTCTGACAATCAGGCACTGAGAAAAAACAATTGTATTAGGATAACAGAGTTTGGATGATATAGGAATCATGCCAAGAGACCTAACAACAAAAATTCGTCTTGGAAACATGCTTACATACTCATATACATATGGTAAGATTGATCGATCCATGATGGAGAAGTTAGAGTTGCTTACATAATCATATGCGAGATTTTTTTTTTTTTTTGCTCCGTCAAGATTGAGAAAGCATGATTTTTGGAAAACCATGACTAGTAGGGTTATCTCCATGCCTTAACAGAAGCATAAAAGAGAAGAACTAGTGGTGGAGGAAGATAATTGTTTGTGCCAAACAACCTAAATTTACATGATGAAAGCTAAGACGGAGAAAACATATTTATGTCAAGGTATAACACTTGTTAAACTATAACCACAAAACTGTTGCTCACGCTGATGTTTGCTGCGAACTTTCAGGTGCATTTAATGAAATTGACCAAGGGGGTGGCTCAGTCACTCCCTTTGGTCGATGCTGGAAAGGATTGTCCCTAGATGCTTTCTTGGAAAATATCTGCTTCCTATTCTCATGAGCTTTGATATTCTGTAGGGAGCATATGCACAATATTAACGAAACTGTGGTGGAAAAAAAGGATGCCATAAATATGAAGAATTAGTCCTCATTAACCTCTGTCCTAGTAGTTAGCACATCTTGAAACTGCTTAGTTGCCCCCATAAGTTTACCCTTTAGGTCATCACAAACAGCTGTTGAATGAACAATTCTATCGTCCGAATAATTTCCATCAGCTGTTTCCATGTTTTGAATCGTTTGCAAATCTGAAAGAGCTGAATTCAATGCCGTGATGTCATTCTTAATAACAGCCGTTAATTCTTGTATTTCCACAGTGGGGTCATTAAACATGGATGACTTCTTTGCCACTGCAAGGTCCCATGCACATTCAAAGGAAACTCGAGTCAGTAACGTCTAGATACCTTATATGCAACCATTAAAGTCCCAAACAAACAACTTTAAAATAGGCTTCTAAGATATACAACGCAATGCAATGAAATCACATCCCATAAATCGATTTCATAGTTCTTTTCCGCTTTCATTTGCATATCCAACAAGTGGCATGCGGTAAGCCCCAAAAAGCGAAGTCGACAATTTTTCAGGAATAAGGCCAACAGCTCTTCTCCTTACACGCAAAAGATGAAAACAAAAGTGACGAAAGAGGTAGCTTTACATTGAGCAAGCCTCGAAATCTTCTGGGAGGTTTCATGGATACCCAACCCGATTCGAGAGGCCTTTCTGTTGAATTCAGATCTAGAATAGGACACGGGAGTATACTGTTTCGATGTGGAAGGAGCATCTTCAGCTTGATTAGGCAAAGAGAGTCCCTCAACCTTCTTCAGAGTTTGAGAGAGAGATCGGAACTCCGACGTACGATCTCGGAAGCCAGGGGCCATTGGAGAGATGCGTGCAATGTCTCCGACAACCCGGAGAGGCAGCCTATGCTCCTCATTTTGGATCTCAACTAACCGGGCCCCACTGGGTCGGATTCGTCAGCGCTTCATTTGCTCCTACGTCATTTTCAACTTCTGCTCGGGTTTTTTTTTTTTTTAAAATTACCTTGAACTTCTGCTCGGGTTTGAAACTTTTAATTTTGTATCCAAAAAAAAACGAATCATGAATTTATCCCAAAAGTGAATTAACGGTGAAGTGGGTTGACAAAAAGCCCAATGGGCTAATATTTGAACCTTGGTTAGCCCATTGAGATTTAATCAGAAGTGAGGTGAAATCGCCGGCGGTGTTCCCGAATCCCCATCCTCGATTCTGCTCCGAGGCTTTCAAACCAGAGGACCCAAATTGCCATGACGGCGTCAGCCATCGCGGTGAAGCCGTGGAAAGCAGCGTACGAAGCAAAGTTGTGGAAGCTTCTGAAAGAGTACGGCCAAATACTGGTGATATCAACCGACAATGCTGAATCCAACCAACTTCAAAAGATTCGAAGGGATCTTCATGAGGACTCTGTGATGGTCCTGGGTAAGAATACCTTGAAGCGGCGCACTATAAAAATGGATGCTGACTCCTCTGGTAACAAGGCTTTCCTCAACCTTCTCCCACTTCTTGTCGTAAGTGATCCACTGCCTCTCTTCTCTTCATCTTCGAGCCCTCTGTCTATCTAGATCGTAAACTTTTAAAAATTGTTAGTCTTGATGTAATTGCGTTAATTCTTGAAAGCAATTAAGATACTGCTGTGATGATTGATAGAATCTTGTTACCATTTCACCTCATTTTGAAGAGAATGCTAATTATTTCGTGGTTTGATCATTCAATCAGGGTAATGTGGCGTTAATTTTCACAAAGGCTGACTTGAAGGAGCTTAGCGAAGTGGTTGCCAAATACGAGGTGAGATTTTTGTGTATGCTCGACCGGTATATAATCATACTTTTTTCTTTTCTGGGCGCTGGACTGCCATTGAATCATAAGATGTTTGTGTTTTGTTGAGGGGCGATTGTAATCATGTTCAATTGTGCCCACAGTAGGATCTACGTGAAACTGATGACAAAACATTATCTACATTGAATGGTTTGCATAAAATCATGAGATGTTGAGAAGAATCTTATGAAAACTTTTTGGCGGATACTTGAAATAATCATTAGCTTTTTACTTAGAAATTGATGGTCAAGCTATATCATGAAACTGAGTTTAGGGGTCTTATATAACTTAGAAAAACCACAAGCTTAATCGGTTTGCCTACTAAACTTGTCCTTGGTCCCCAGGTGGGCATACTCTTCATATTTGTCTATATCTTGCGTCTGCTGGCTGCATTCATAAGTCGTGAAGTGACATTAGCTTACTTGAGTACTTGTAATTTTTTTGTTTTAAAGGTATATTCAGCATAAAGATGAAAACTATGATATGAATGATTGTGTTATGGTCCAACTACTGCCTCTTTTCTCAACTTAACTCAGTTTAAAAGAATTCATATTCGTTGCACTTATCTTTTAGCAAAATATCAATTAGGAAGAATTAATAGCGATTAATTTCCCTTGGAAAAAATAAAACCTCTGAATCTTACATATTGCGAGCTGCGTCTTACAGGTTGTTCATCCTCATCTCATGTGCCCGAAGTTCATGTCATATGACTCGTACCGTAATTGTCTTTTTGTGAGATCGAGGCAGTTACCTCTGAGCCTCAGGTGTTGTCGTCAGCTATTTCCGGAGACAACTAATCCTCTTCTATTGTCTCCGAGGTTCCTTCCCCAGAATAACTGTTTTTTGACGAGATCAAGACAGTTTTTGATCATGAGTATATGGGCTCCCCTCCTTCATTTTGCGGGTACATTATGAAATGGAACCATCTTCTTGCGGGTAGATGCCTTGTACTACGACGATGACTTCCTTGATTTTGGTTTTCTTCTTGAAGCATACTAACTAGACTAGTTCTGAAGATCCCTATATTGGATTCTCTCCTATCAGGGGACGATGGAGATGGAAAATTATCTTTTCGTAATGATGATTTTGTTTAGGATGGTCGAAAAGGATCTAGCGATGCACCAATCGAACCGTTGTTTTTTTTTTTTTTTTGAGGAGCAACGACAAGCCGAAGCTTGGAAACTAAAATACAAGACTAAAGAGACAGAAATAAAAGGAAAACGCAGAGAAAAAAGAAGCAGCAAGCTCCAAACTCAGACACCATGCTGGTCATCTAGCACTATACTGGTAGATCCGGCTGGCACATTGTGTACCAGTAACGTATCAAACGATCTGTTATGTCCTGTTCTCGCCAAAAAAATTGGCACACTTAATGATGTCTCTACCAGTGTGTGTAATTTAACCGACCAATTTCTTTAGATTATCTCTCTCTTATCTGTAATAAGAGACCTCCGAGGATGATCTATAATATAGTCTCGCACTAATGAGTTGAAAGCCTCCAAGGAATCTGTATATAACATAATCTTGGATAGTCCCATTTGTTAGCATGTGTGCAAGCCGGTCTGGATGGGCATTAGTTCGGCTTCTGTAGCGGAGCAGCAGTCCAGATTGCGCTAAAAACCCATGAGCAAGTTGCCTCCATGGTCTCTAATCGAACCGTTGTTTAAAATGTTGATTAACCAACAATTGTCGAGTGAATCTCGTAGGCGACAAAAAATAGTTAGACGCTAACAAGCTTCTTTATGGCTTGAATCTTACAATTACAGTTGATAATTATTAGTTGACTAATTTGACTAAATTATAAAAATTAGTTAAATTAGTTATTTGTAATAAATAGGTATTGTCTTTCTTAAAATATCCTTACTCATCAAGTACTATTTTTAAAAAAAAAATAACGGATTGGAATTTTATATTTAGAATTAAAATAAAAGTCAGACGAGTCCTTATATTAAGAACCGAAGGTAGTATTTATTTACTTTTAATTCCATCATCCTGCTGCTGCTGCTATGTGTAGCATGGTAAAAGGGCGTTTGGAATGACCGCAACTTTTGTAACGTGTTCGTGATGTATCGCAAGGTGTTGGTAACATTTGTGAGGAATGAGTTGTTACAGCTGCAGGACCCCGAAAATAAACGAATTCCTTATTTCTGCACAAAATGTTGGCATTTTATACTGTAATATGTACCCATGCATGCTCAAAAGATGTGATAGACATTCCAACGTAAGAAGAGGTCGTGAGCGTTGCGAAGCACGAGAACTATCAGTGGGGCAAATACCACTGGCCCTGATGAACTTTGGTGGGGCTGATCCTTCTTTTTTTGATTGTCCACTCTGTCTCGGACCAAGCTCCTTTTACATTGATGTTGGATTAGCATCTTCCAAAAACTGCACAGTTCCATTCCTTTGGGGCAGGCCCAATAAAGAAGTTGGCGCCACTTAAATCTAACCACAATCAAATAATGGCTTCTTTGCAAATAATCACAACTGTTCTCCCTTATTGTTGGCGTAGTTAATGGCGTATATTTAGAAACATATCACATATTTTGAGATGTAAAAATAGCCATTATTGCTCTAAATTCATCAAGTTAAATGCCAGAGAGATTATAGTAGCTGCTTTGCGGAAAAATTGACGTGATACGAGGAAAGAAAACTGAATGAAGGATATGGGAGAGGGAGACAATATAATAATACCACTACTTATGAGGAGGTTATATTTAATTAATGCAGAGAAAAGAAAACACAAGCGATTCGCGATTCGCCCGAGTCGGAAGGGAGAAGGGTTCCAACTTCCACGGGAGGGCGAGTCTCGAGTATCCCAAACCAAAAAGGCAAGAACTAAAAGTGATATGTATGACCCACAAAAATATCTTGGTCCCCTGCCATCAGGCCCCACGTGTTATCCACTCCCTATTCTTCCGCTTACCCCAAACGAAACTCTCGTGCTGCCCTGCGAATTTTGCCCCCTTCCTGCTTTCTTCTCTGCTCCTTTCTTTGTACCTCCACTCTTCAACTCCCATCACTCCCCCCCCCCTCCTTCCTTCATTCGCTTTCACTCTCCTTGCCCACCAATTCGTTCCTCCCCAAGGTAACTTCCTCCTCCTAATGCACCGCCTCCTCTTACCCTCTCCTTGTTATGCCCTCCAGCCCCTGTTAGTTCTCATCCTCTACTCTCCTCTCCTCATCCTTTTTGACTCCAAATCCTTTGCTTTTCCATTCATGGTTTATTAAATCCAGACGAAGTCGCGCTCTTCCTTACTTTCTCGAGATTTGATTCGAAAAGGAGGCTTTTACATCTGTCAACCCTTTTTCGCGGCCTGCCCGGGATTTCGGCTCAGTCGAGTCATTTCCTTTTGTGTTTTGTCATGACATGAGCTCCTTTTAGGCGATTCCCAGTTTCTCTCATTTCATCGGTGAACCTGGTGATTCGAATATGATACCAACCGTCTCTCCCAATCTCAAGTGTTGGCAGAGTTCACTTCTCACAACCCCTCATTCTCTCTGTCATTCCCCGAAGCCGCCTGTTCCGTTTCATTCTCCTTCACTTGGAAATCTTTCTAATAGTGTTCACACCGCTCTGCTTCATCGATTGGTTTCCCGCTCTCCCTTTGCCGGCTTCAAGAATTTCAGAACGCAAAGAGGAAAGCGAGCTTGCTCTGCGCCCGCAGATTCTGATGATATTTTGGACCCCGAAATGATGAAACTGGTTCAGGAAGCAGAAAAGGCATTCAATCAATCGGAGGCCCCCCTTAACGGAGATTTCAAAGATTTTTCAGGCAAAGGCTCCTCAGAGAAATTTCCGACGATTAAGCCTGATCTTCTAGAACCCTCTGAACTGGGCATTGAACCGGAGCCACCGAGCTGGCCGGAAAGAGATGCGATGCTACGAATGAATTTGGCTAGGAAATTGAGCTGTAGGGAACTTCCTTTATCGATTCGGATCATAAAGAAGAAGCTCCAATGGCAAAAGAACTTCAAGGAAGCAAGCGATTTCACTTGCTGTTCGGTGAAAAAGACATTTTCCTACATGTTATTCATCTACCACGAACTCCAAAACTATGCCCTGGAAAGAAGCGAAACCCTGTACCGCGAAGATTTGCAAGATGTCATGAACAAGTTTCGCAGAGACATGGATGCTTCCTTCGTTTGGCTATTCCAGAAAGTTTTCTGGAAAACCCCTAGTTTCATGCTTTATACGATGGTTCTCTTAGCGAACTTCTCTGTATACTCAATGGGCACTCACACTGGAGTTTCAGTTACTCCTACATCAATTGTCACGGATGTTCAAACCTTGAGTGAGAACAAGAATAAGAAGGGGTTCAGAGACGCAGGGAGGTTATGGAATTCAACTGTGCAGGAAGCTTCGAGGGTGCGTGATGAAAGCGGGACCAAGAATTTGGACGAAAAGCCAATGGTACATTTTGTTGCTCCCGAGTCCGAGGAGATCGAAAGAAATAATAAATACGAGCAATATACGAGTACTGATCTCCATTACAAAAGGCAGTTATATGAATACCCCAACAATTCTCTCCTACTCTCTAATTATGCGCAGTTCCTTTACCTTGTTGTCCATGATCATGATCGGTAAGTTCTTAAACTTGACTCGTTTTATATTATAATCTAGTTAGCTTGAAATGACTCTCCGTTCCATTTTAAACTTATCTGCTTGGCCGGAAAGAGAAAACGAATAGGTGTGTTGCCATCTTTTGGTTGCGTATGGTGGTCACTGAATGGATTTTCACTCATGACTGCGATGTCATTCTAGCTAGTTGCGGTGGATGTTTGTCTTTGTTGTCAGCAGAATGGGGGGATGCACCGGATAGAATACTGACACAGACAGACACTCTGGAAAGTCTATAACACGGTGGAATGTGAAGAGGAATGTTTGGCGCTTATCATATCATTCTTAGGCATAGCTTGAACATCGAATGCCAATCCATTAATATTAGTATTCGATATCTTTTGGGTCACTTCTCGGTACTCATTTACTGGTGTGTCTGTGCAGGCATTGTCTATTGTAAAAGCTACTCATAGTTGTAAAGTAGTAATTGCCTAAGAAATGAATGTGGGTTTTGCAGAGCAGAGAATTACTTCAGTCAGTCCGTGGCGGCGGAGCCACAAGATGCGGAGGCATTCTGTCGATACGCAGACTTCCTGTGGCAGGTGAGGAATGATCTATGGGGAGCAGAGGTGAGATATCTGAAGGCCATCGAAGAAGAAAATGAGAATTGGCATTACACTTCAAAGTACGCCACTTTCCTATGGTGCACCGGCGCAGAAGATACTTGTTATCCTCTATATTCCAGAGACAACTCTCAACAACAACAATGACACGTTACCGTTTATTTCTGTGCTTTTATCCAGTTATGTCACGTTTTGCTTACTGGGCTTCAAACATTCCGCTTCCCATTAGTTAAGTTTCCTTCATCTTTTGGATTTCTAACATTTAGCGTCCTTGATGCCCGCAGCAAACCATCTTCTGTTTGTACGTGATTCCAGGGCATTCATATGGAGGCTCACCGGCATTTTTTTCTTAATGTTAAACGTTCATTATAGCTATAAATATGGTCAAAAATCATTCCGAACTAGAATTTCTCCCCGTTGATTGCAATTAAAGAGAGGGAACCAGGGCGCCAATAACCTGGTATTCCATGTCAGCAATACAATAGATTGATCCAAGAAATGTGCTAAATCCACTACCCACGCCAAAATGCATGGATTGCGTGTAAGAATCAAATATAGTACGGCTAATTAACTACGAAGAATCGCCAGTGGCCTAGCGACACAATGGCATCCTACGCCCCCTCAGAAGAGGGGGGAGGTCGCCAGTTATCCTAGGTGAGGTTGTGGGTGTAGAGTGTGCGTGAGTTTCCTCCCCCATGTGTGTGATTGTCCCTTAAAAAAAAAAAAAAAAACTACGAAGAATCAAGTAAATCAACGAGCTAATTGAAGACACAGGAACATCTACAACAGAAAAGTAAAGTAAAAAGTCAGCATCACCAGAACCAGGTGTTGCGGCCATCAACAGCCTTCAATGTAGTAGATACCAATGGCATCCGCCCATACTCCGCAGCAAATCTGTTGAGGCACTCCGTCCTTCGATCACTGTGACCTCCCAAACTACTAATGCCAGTTGATCCAATTTCGTATATATTTCCTGTAGCAATTACATACAAGTATGGGTGAAATGCACCAAACTAAGTCGTTGAAGACTCTTCCAATGAGGTTGTTACAAAAGGACGGTACGATGTCAAGAATTGGCCGATGAAATGGAACTTCACGATTTGGCGAAACCCTATGAAATTATTGTTTTAACATTCCTCGGGCAATTACAAAGCCATTGACCCCAAACTTCAATGGACTACAAAGCTAGCAGGCAGCCAAAAGAAATTTCCTAGGTTTCTGCTGGACTATAATCTTAGAACTCCTTTAGACTGACAAGCATAGCAATATAGCAGAATGACAATGATCGAGAAAAAGTAGGAGTAATGATCGTAAATTCTCTGAGAGGCATATATTAGTTCCTGATTAGTTGAAATTATTTTTCTAGATTGAATTAAAATATTGAATGAAGCATCAGACAAATTTTGATTTTCTGAACTCTTCCGTTAAGAAGTTTAAAAAGGAGGCCAGTAACAATGCTGCTGTACCTGAAAAATTAGGTGATTGCCAGCATCCTAAAAAGAAAGGAGGATGAATAGTTCATGGTATTTAATCCATTGCCTAACATCTGACTGATAGAGTGAGGTAAGAGGTAGGGCTTCATTTATGGCACCAAAATGTCAAATAGCGTCTTTGCTAGAAAGACAAAAAAAAAAAAAAGAATATGTCTCCATGGACAATTTACGAGTTGCCAGCATCAATCATAGAAAGCACATTGCAAGAAAACCAGTAGAAAGCACAAATATGCATTTGTATAATACAATTCACTGCATATCATTTATAGCCTACCACCCAATGTCAGGGCAAAACAAGAAGAAATCATTAGACTCGTAGGAGGTTGTTGAAAGAAATAACATAGTTAATGCCTTGTGTGCACCCATCCATATATAGAAAGGGAAGAAGATACCTTTAACCCATATCGGGGGTGTGCCAGTAGCATTAGCAACAAGGATAGACATAGCAATATCCTCACAATTCCTGAAAAGTCCGTTATATTATTAAGCATAAGATTCAAGTTAGATAGGTTGCAAGAACAATTATCAAGAAGCCAGCAAGTGATTAGTTGTCAGAGAAGGAACCTGTTCTTGGTTACATATTCTCTAATGGATCTTGGCATCTCATTTGTGTAGAGACTGAAATACTTTTTGTGGAGAAATGCTGCCTTGGAGAGCACTATACTATATGTACCCGTCCACCACACTGACCACCATCCACCATATTTAAATTTTTCACCATTACCTCTCTGCAAACATGTTGAGTGATTTGAAAGGTTAAATATAGAAGTTTGAGAAATTCGCCAGGCCACAGGACTAAAGCTAAGTAGATCTTGAAAAGGTCCCCAAAGGGCTGCAGAATTATTAAAATAAAAAGAAATTATTAGATACTAAAGTAGTTTTTAAGTTCACAATCTCGAGATTAATAGGATAGTCACAAAATATTAGTAGCTTTTTGATAACATGATTCCTCAAATGAAGAAGGAATTTTCTTCATCTATTACAGAAGTTCAACTCTCTTTCCCTTTATAAATTAGCTCCTCCCCAACATTGCCATAATACATCCCTACTCTCCAGCTAGAGATTAAGGCAACTTCAAAGGCTTACATTTATCCATTAAGTTATATGCAATTGGTCATTCAGTCATTCTGATGCCAATCAGGCACCAAAGTTCAAAGTTCAAAGCTCAAATGGACCCTCAACCGTGTCCCCAAAAACGGCAAAACAGGGGATCCCCAACCATGGAGAAAGGGAGCAATGCACGCCAAGTTCAAATAAATGAAGTATTGACAATGCCCAAGCTTTATTATGATCAAAATTCTCACATTTCAGCTTAAAAGCATAGCCACAAATGATATCCCACCAAAAATTTGAGGAATGATAGACAGCATACACATAAAAGAGTATAAACATCATACCGATGAAACCACCCAATGAGATCGAGGCACAAACCCCACCATTGTATCTGGTGCACTTTGCCAAACATCGAACGCAAATTCTACTGAAGAGCATGAAAAGAAAACATCATCATCAATTGAAAAGACAGCATCTGTCTCCAAATTCTTGATTTCTTTAAATCTATTATTCAAACTGTCGTCCTTGTTTATATCGAACTTCAATTCGACATGCCGCCCATCTTTAGACCTTGACTGTATTACATGATGCAAAAATTTCATAAGAGAATGTGAAGGAGGACTGGGTTCACTCCACACTATATGCACTGATTCAAGGCGAGGACACAATGCATAGTGCTTGATGGACTGCTTTAGGAGATCATATCTCTTCCATGTGTTCATTACAATAGAATATCCTTTCCTGGGAAGAAATTAGGGGAAAACAGTGAGTTCTCCTAAATGTCAAGCAACCTACACTCCATACTTTAAAATAAAATGAAAATCACAGAGGACAAGGCAACCCCTATCTCTATATTTCCAACAAGAAAAAATGCGAGAAAAGGGGAGAGAAAAGAGCGTTTTGATGATCAAGTTGATATTTTCAACAAGCACGATGTACTGTTGAGTCAGCCGAAGAACCATCAAATGCTCCAACTCAAGGTCGTAATTTTAAGTTGTGGAACACTAGACCCCGAAGAAAACCTACACCTTCCAATGTGCCTCATCATGTCATTCCAAAGGTCAGCTGCAGTGCCACTTCACCACAAATCATGACCTCTCCAGGTAATTTAATCAACTAAACACCCGAAAGAAACTTGAGTGAACAAAATCAGACGGTTAGTTAACAACGAAAGTCAGTCTCTTGCAAAAGTGGGAGGATATCGATTGAACATCGACAAAGAAATAAGCGCTGTGCCCCTCGTGAAGTGAACAGTGCCCTCGATTATCATCTGTGCCCCATAGACTGATAGAAATCCCCACTTTACTTGGCGGAAGACCTGTCTTCCATATACCTCTATTTTGGCAGACAATAACACGCTTCTAGAATTCCAAATACAGACGCTCGACTTTAAAAGAAGTTAATAATAACAGAACTTTAATTGCTCGTAATTCACCTGGGACTCTTATAGATACTCCTCTAAGCAGACATTTTCCAGTTATGACACTTTCTGAATAAAACCGAAGTGGTCTTTAGGAAATATAGTAGGTGGCAAGCGCCGTGATCAAATCAAGCTTGTTCTCACTTCTCATCACGTTTGCCCAAAACAGAAACTACAGCTCCCAGAATATGGAGGATATACTAAGTAATTAATCTATTTAAACAATAATCCAAAAAACATTGAGACAGCAGCGGTGTACTAACCCTGAAACAGACGAGTGATGCAGAGCGGAGCGTTCATTGGTCCATGCCATGAAGGAGGAAGCGCTGCTGGTAAAGGCGATCACCGTTAAGGAAATGCAACAGCAGAGAAGGAGCTTGATCTTCAATGATTTAACGGGCGTTATGGCAAACTGCCGGAATCTCTGCTCCGTACGACGGTTGAACCAGAAGCTTCCTCTCATCACTGCAGCGCCGTATGTGCATGTATGTGCCCAATAAGGACTCGCCAGCCGAGTCAAAGCCTCCCGTATCAGGAAGGTGCAACCTCACTCTCCATCAAACGGTCCCAATGGTTTCTGTTTCCGCGGGTGTGAGGAGAGAGCTGAGAGGAAAGGGATTGGGCAAAGTCAACAGGAAGGGAAGCAAACAGGGGAAGAATGGGTAGTTGTAAATGTAGGGGAATCGAATGGATTCGCAACTATTACGTCGTGCTTGCGAGCTTGAGTTGAACCTTCCCTCAGACAGGATCGGAGAGAAGGCAGCAGCCAGCAGGGGCTGGGTTCCATACGAGAAGGTATTCAGGTAGGCACGAGGCGCACTCGAAATCACGTGTTTGGACACGTGGATTCCCTGAGAGCCGCTTGACTGTGCCAATAAAAAAGACCCTGTCTTTTGAGTTTTGACTTATACGTATTGTATCTCTTAAATGCCCTCCCCAAAAAAATTCCAAGTATTGGTCAAACGTGGGCGGTTGGGATAATTAAATTCCTTTATGTGGGAAAAAAAATATTAATCTAAGAGGATTTATTGTTTTTGTTTATTCATTCCAATATTAAATCTAAAATTATGAAAAATGGGTTGATTTCATTAAAATCTCTCTTCTTATTATTATTTTATTAATTTCACATATTAATCTGAAAATAATAAATTTATAAGATAAAAGAGGTGGCATTTTTTTTGCCAGCACAAGCTGTTGACGCTTTACATCTATAATCTATAATTAGAACAAAATGTCATCCAGTCCTTATGTTAATAGTGAAAGAAGATTTTTTTTTTTTTAGGTGAAAGTGAAAGAAGATGGTTAACGATAGTATAAAATGCAAAACCTAATGTTTACGTGTACTAATTTATTCCGTATCATTGAGGCAGAAAAATATAATACAATTTTGTCAACTGATTGCAGCGGAAATAATATGAACCAAGTCAGAGAAATAAAAGGACAAAAGTTTTACGTCACATGGCAATAATTCAAAGCTACAGCTCATTCTAGTGATAAACAAGATATAATGATTTGGGGAAATTACATATAGGTCCCATGCAAGACAATTAATTCATAAAAAATCCCTCAAAATTCTAAAATAACTCCCAAGTCCCCATGGGCCTGTGTATAATAAATTGAAATGATAAAATTACCTATTTACTCCCATTAATTTTATTGTAGTAATTTATTTACAACCTCAACAGTGGCTATTGACAACCCGAGGAGAAGTGGTTAACAACCTCGACAGTGTCACTGACAACTCATTCTGTGGAATGCCAGGGGCACTGCCGAAGTTGTTAACCACTTCTCTTCGAGTTGTCAACAGTCATTGTTGAGGCTATAAATGAATGAGGTAAATAGATAATTTCACGATTACAATTTATTACACACAAGTCCTTGGAGACTTGGGAGTTATTTTGGGATTTTGAGGGACTTTTTGTAAATTAATTGTTTTGTGTAAGACCTGAGTGTAATTTTCTCTAATAATTTTACTTGAATTGGTTCATTAGCACAAGGGGGGATAAAATTGGCAAGCATTAAGTTTGAGAATAAATGGAACCCACTCGGTCACGCCACGCAAGATGACCTTAAGTTTGGACAATGATATTTTTAATGCAAACAACATATTGCGTCGTGCCACATGCGGCCCGGTGGTCATCACTCATCGCCCGACGGCATCGAACACTGAGAGAACACTCACGATATAAACATCACATAAACAACAGGTTCTCATTGACACTTTAGAATGAAGCATTTTAATCTGAAAAAGGCATTTTAGATACTGCTTTTCTGGTTTTATTTATAAGACACTTTCAATATGTTTCACACAGATTAAGAAAAACCTTAAATTTCATTAACTCTTATTTAAAATTTAATGACTTTTCAATTTTATTTCTACTTAATATATATTATACATCATATAAACAAAGTCAACACAATAATAAATGAAGAGTAAATTTGTACATTCATATATAAAAAATTTCTCAATACCCTATAAATAGGATTAAAAAATATATTATCTCTCTTTCCTATAAATAGGACTAAAGAAGTACTCTTTATCAACATATGGAATGATTTTATATTTATTTATTTATAAATGATGTTGAGTTGCTTTTACTATAAAGGGTGATAGGACAAGGGCAAAGAGTTTTTTTAAAGAGTTATACTGCTACATACTATTTCCGGTCTTAATTATAAGAGCTAGTTGACTAATTTGAGAAAATTAAAGAAAAAAGTTAAGTTAATTATTTGTAATAAATATGTGTTATTTTTCCTAAAATATCCTTGTCAATCAAATATATTGGCTAGAAATATCATTGTTAAAAAGACTACTTTAAAACAAAATGTATAAATATGAGAGACAAAATAGATTGAGACCTTATATTTAAGATCAAATAAAAATCAAACAATATTTTATATTAAGAATCAGAGTTAGTATTTTATTACAAGGACAGCGCATAATTGGATGTCTGTTTCTTAAATTCAAAGGAAATGGGAGTGATGAGCTGGTGATAATGTCAACGTCCCTCGTCTTTTGGTGGTTCTGCCGCCTATAGCTGCTGTGCCGATTGAAAAACACAACAGAAGAACGAAAAGAGGAGGAGGGGCGGGGGGGGGGCATTTTCTAACTCAAGTGTACGGCACATAGGGTCAAAACAAAACGTACGGAGTTCATTCGCTGCTCTCTGTTTTTCCCCTGGTGCCTTGCTCCTTTTGGCTTTTTTCCCCCTCATAATTTTTTTTTTTTTTTTTTTTGTGCACGTGCCTGTAACTCTCTCTCTCTCTCTCTCTATATGCGTGTATGCTTTACTTGATGAAATGCTTCATGTAATTGAAATTTCTAAGACGAAATGAAGGAGCGTCTTCATTTATCCACGCCCGACCAAAGAAAAATGTCCGCTGCAAAATTGCCACCCAGTCACGCGAACGAACAACGTCTGAATTTTTTTTTTTAAATTTGGTTATTTGTGTCTCCTCGTTTAAACAGCGCATATATTTGAAATTTAATATTGAATTTAAAGCGCTGGTAAAAAGTAGCTGGTAAAAAAAAAAAGCACTAGTAAATAGTAATCGTTTTCGTTACAGTAGTAAATAGTAATTTGTCTCCGGGGGCTTATTAGCGGTGCCTCCTCGGCTAGGAGGAGTCCCCAGCCGCAATAATAACGATAATTTAAACCTCCCACTTGGGCTTTAACAACTATTTCCCCACACTCTTTTCCTTCTCTCTGGGTTTATGCTGCGCGTCACGATTCTCATTGCTCTCATGCTGCTGCTGGGCTTTGGGCCAGCCGAAATCCATTAAAGTAAAAAGGTCCGAATCGTAAATCTCATGGTCAAGGCCCACTATTTGTTTAAGGGGCAACCCAACAGACACAAAAGGGAACAAAAATGAAAAATCATGAGAGAGAAGCATAAGGGGAGAATAGACCGGAAAGGCCGGGGCAGAGAGTAGAGAGGGTGGTTGAGGAGGGAGCTCAGCATATCGCCATCGCCCCATACAGCGTACATATACTGCGGCCCACCTTCGCTGAATAACCAATTCACATGTTCGGGTTGAAGCCTTGAAGCGGTTGCCGCACAATATTTATAACTTTACACGTTCCAGACTGAATTTTCGATAGTCGAATTTGGGGGTCTCCATATTGCGTGAATTCACGAAGAACTATGATAATCGCATGGAAGTAAAAGTAGTGATGAATCGAAGTAGTCGGTCCGGGAGGGGTGACAGCCAATTAAATCTGCGGCCCTCATTTGTTGGGCGGTACGTCGTGGATGATGATGACGATGGCGTCACCAATCACCACAATTGGAGGGGGCGGCGTTGCTATTTTTGGATGGAGCTGCCACAATAATATTTTGTATAATACTGCCATCTCATATAAAACCATACCCCGTTTATATTCCCCCCGCCCCCCACCCCAATTCGCATCTTGTCCGCTTATACCCCACCACCCCCCCCCCAAAAAAAAAAAAACCATCCAATCACTGGGCGTGGGAAACACGTACTGGTGATCGGAAACCAGTTTTAGGTAGTTATCACTGCGTTTGAAATTTGTATCATTATACAAGTTTAACGGTATTGGACGTAATATCTCATGAAGAGTTTGTTTCGCGGGCAAAGGAGGGCATACACGAAGATGATGGGCAACAAAATAAGTGGAAGTGGGTTTGTACTTTGTAGGATCGTAGCCCCCCCCCCAAAACCTCTCTTCTTTTTGAATTTCCTCAAAATTAAAAAAGAGGAACAACTAATGAGAAATATGCAGTGAATAATGTGATGCATGGTGGAAAAGCAGGGGAGGGACGTTGCCACCCCACATGTAGATGCATGCCCTCTGCCCTTCAATTATTTAGAACTCCATTTTGCATTTATTAATCTTATCTCCACAACTCATTCCCTCTTAACTAATCCCCCGTTAGGTTCCCCTACTCATACTCCACCCATTGTGTGTGTGTGTGTGTGTGTGTGACACTATATCCCTCTCGCTCATCTTTTTTCTGTGCGCATATACTATCATGTTGTCTCATTCGCGCAAAGTATACATCCCCACCATATAATATATGCGTGCTCAAACCATAACCTTTTTTCGTGAAAATAAAAACAGAAAAATGGGAGGACGAGCGATCCTATATTCCTGTTACTGCTTTAATTTATATACTTGTATATGAAATAAAAGCAGATATGTGGGCGTCCATAAAGGACGTTGCGGGATAAGCTGATAATTGGCTTCGCCTTCACCGCAGAGGGAGGGTCATGTTCGCGCCATCTTTACAAACAATAACAAAAAAGACAAATATGTGGCAAGGGAAACGTGAAATTACACGATGCACGACAAGCTGAGAATGTCATCTGACACTGATCACTGATGTGCCTTCAATTTGTATTCATTCACATATAATCACGACCCTCGGACCGCTTCTTTCTCCCGAAGGATGGCCGTGCTATCATTTCTCTTCAAACCAGTATCATTCACAAACGATAGACATTAATCACGTATCCACATTAAAATTACGCCTCCGGCTAATGAATCATTCAATTCATTGCGTTTTCTTTCCCCCTGTATCTATCTATAACCTGGCACATTAATTTTTCATGATTACAACACCACACTTAGCTCGCACTGTCCAGCAGGGACCGCAGTTATGGCATCTGCCTAAGAAACCAGAGTCCCGGCTCTGAATGGCCAAAATGAGAAATGAAAGGGATATGATGAAACAGAACAACTTTGTAATTAGTGAAGCGAGGGCTGCTTTGCGTCTGCGCGCTGAGTTCTGTGAACACATGCTGCCAAGTTCAGAAAATCAATGCACGCTCCAGCAGTGCCGCACAAAAATATGGTCGGTCATGCAATGAGTGGTGGCCATGGTGCCAGGTAGGGACGACCAAGCACTATTTTGGATCCACACCTTCAATACATACCGACTTTCATTTAATGAATAAACCAGGAAAATGATTGGACGGCCAGAAAGATAAGAACGTAAATCAATTTATACTTTGTGCCGGTAGGCCCCACCACTTGCTATCCTGCTTGATTAGGGTCTGATTAAGCTTATAAATCCCCGCCCAATCCCCCCCCCCCGCCCATCCAATCCTGTCAGTTTTTCTCCCACGCACACACTCAAACGAGCCTGAAAGCTAAGGGCAGGGAGAGACCCGCGACGAGCAAAAATGGAGGGGAAGGAGCAAGACGTCTCGCTGGGAGCTAACAAGTTCTCGGAGAGGCAGCCCATCGGGACGGCAGCTCAGATTCAAGACGGAGGCAAGGACTACCAGGAGCCACCGCCGGCGCCTCTGTTCGAGCCCTCCGAGCTCACGTCGTGGTCCTTCTACAGAGCAGGCATAGCCGAGTTTGTGGCCACTTTTCTCTTCCTCTACATCACCGTCTTGACCGTTATGGGCGTGAAGAACTCCAAGTCCATGTGCTCCACTGTCGGCATTCAGGGGATCGCGTGGGCCTTCGGCGGCATGATCTTCGCCCTCGTCTACTGCACCGCCGGCATCTCAGGTTACCGATCTCCCCGTCTATTCGACATACTATACTAAACGACGACTGCTTACTCTTGCTCTCCTTTCTGCGAGGTGAAGTTGATTTCACATATGCTAGTGTTGATGTAAACGTGCAGGCGGTCATATTAACCCGGCGGTGACGTTCGGGCTCCTCCTGGCCAGGAAACTGTCGTTGACGAGAGCACTGTTCTACATGGTGATGCAGTGTCTGGGCGCCATATGCGGGGCCGGTGTGGTTAAGGGTTTCGAGGGCAGCGCCAGATACACCCTCAATGGAGGTGGTGCCAATGGCGTGAACCCTGGCTACACCAAAGGAGATGGCCTCGGCGCTGAGATCGTCGGCACCTTCGTTCTCGTTTACACCGTCTTCTCCGCCACTGACGCCAAACGCAACGCCCGAGATTCCCACGTCCCTGTAAGTCACCCCATCTTTTCTTTCTTTTTTTCCCCCTTCGGTCCGTTTCATTACGTTTCAAACAATTTAATACCGAATTGATCTTACAAAAAAAAGATGCTGCTTCATTTTTAATGAACGATCAGCTTTTGGCACCCTTGCCAATTGGGTTTGCTGTGTTCTTGGTGCACCTGGCCACCATCCCAGTCACCGGCACCGGCATCAACCCAGCTCGTAGTCTGGGCGCTGCCATCGTCTTCAACAGCGACAAAGGCTGGGACGATCATGTATGCACCTCCGCTCTCGTATTTAGTCCCCATATCTGTTTTCTATTCTATGCCGTGTCATTCTCCTAAATTTCTTGTTGAATATTATGGGAACGCACATGAATGATGACGACTCTCCTGACGCATGATGAAACAGTGGGTTTTCTGGGTGGGACCATTCGTGGGAGCAGCTCTTGCGGCTTTGTACCACCAGGTGGTGATCAGAGCCATTCCCTTCAGCTCCACTTAATGGGTGATTGAAGCTCATCATGTCATCCCTTCAAGCCTGCTGGTTTCTCTTTCTATTTTTAATTTGAGTCTCTTTTTGCTTTTTCCGCATGATGGATCTTCTCAGTGTCTTTTGCGCGTGTAAAGAATGGAATTTGTTTCTTTTTGGGGTGGCGGTGATTGAAAACGGAGCCCGGTCGGGCATGGGAAAGGATGGGCCAATATAATTTCCTCTACTTTTGAGTTGGAAGAGGGCCCATCTCTCATGTGGTGGTCCTTTGATGTATGGATCGGGTATCTGTCAAATTAAGAAAAAATTAAAAAATAAAAACTGAACAAGTTGTGCAGTGCCCTGCGTTTGGAGCTCATATCTCAGTAGTGTTGTCCTGTTCCGCCTGGCGTATGCGTCAGTCAATAAAGTTCATCATCCAGGTTCTAGGCCTTCCAGTTCCAGCGACTAACGTAAAGTTGAAGGACTTTGCTGTCGCTCAATTAGCATGTTTTATCAAAAAAAAAAAAAATTATTACCAAAAAAATTCTTTTTCAATCTTGTTTTAATATTTAATAATTTTTTAATCGTATCCCTGTTTAGTATCATTTCATTTTACAAGAATAACAATGTGGAGAATAATAAATAAAAGTAAAATTATACATTAAATCATTCAGGTTCTATAGGCCTTTCAGTTCTGGGTACTGTCGTTGGCATTACATTCGTAAATGTATGTATTCTTTAAACTCTGCATCACATCTTTAATTTTATAATTTAGGAATCTCAAAATTAAAAAGAAATACTTATTTGAGCTCCGTAAAAAGAAAACAACCTAAAATCTCATTTAAGTTGGTAACAATTTTAATCTCATAAAGAAGTAATTATTTAGATATTCAAATTGGTACTCGACTTGCTAAGAAACTGAGAAGAGGTAAACGTGGGCCTGTGAATTTTGAGCCCGAAGGCCTTCAAAAATCCTTCATGGATAACCCTTCCTGATCTCCTATCAATAACCGCACACCGATCATTCTTCCATTAAGTTTTTTTGGCCAAAATCTCTCTAAATATAAATCAAATCACGTTACAACATTAACTTCAGTTTACAAAAGTTAGTCGAGCATGGGAAGGCTTCAAACGATCAAAAGAGTCCTAATTTGCAATTGATCTAATTCCACCAAAGCAACGTAACTTGTGAAAAGCTTCGGATATCTTGTTTAAGCACCTGCCCCTCGATTATCGTTAGCAAATCTGGTCAAGCACGCGCGTGCTTGGAAGCCAAAAGGAATTAAACAGATCCCTTCGTGCATTGGACTGTGTTGATTCTTAATTAATTAGTTAGGTGGGGTTCAGTCCAAGAAGTGGCAGCTGGAAATGTGGCAGATCATCCATTACTCCCGCTCCTGTTGGTTTCGTGCTTCTTTAGTGAGTGCTTTTCAGTTTTCTCTGATTATAAACCATTATACCTTCGTGTAGCTTATCATCATTTTTCGTACTTTAATTGGGGTGAAATTTGAGATGAACCGCACTATTTATTACTTATGGAGCTTCTTATAAATTTTATATAAAATATACTGATGTATGAATAACGTAAGAAAAATTCATATGCATATTGGTATATTTGTCCACAGAACTAGTCTGAGCAACTTGATTATCTATATCGTCAATTCATCATCTGAAGCACCACGTCAATAACTTTGGTGCCTAACTTTGAGTTCAAAAACACTTCGTAGAATGCCACTGAAAAATCTAAGGGAAGGCAGAATGGTTTTTTTTTTTTTTTAAATTGATCATCATCTCAATTCTACTGCACAAAATAATATGAGTTATAGAACTTATAAGAGAATTTTTTAATTGTTTTGTCCATTATTCCAAATGACCTGTTAGGAGCCGAAACGTCAATATATTTGGGTTCGTCGTCCCCGTGGAGAAGGAATGAATGGGTTATTATATTTTGACCGAATCATAATAATGTTTGAATGGCGGTAGTGTTTCTGTGATCATCGTTGTCCGTGTCTAGCATGCTTCCAAAGTTTTACAAAAAACGAACGAAGCAAAATCTGCATATAATCTAATAAAAAAGGAAGGCGGCGAGTAACATTTAGATTGGGGTCATTGTCATTATAGAGTCATATCTACAGGGTGGAGAAAATATATCTTTTTTTGTTCTATTTAATTTGTAAGGTATTGAGAGAAATTTTTTTGTATAGATATATGATTTTATCTTTCATTTATTCTTGTTTTAATTTTGTTTACATGAGATATATTGTACATCAAATATATATAGTTATAAAGTTGTTGAGTTTTAAATGATCGCTAATAAAGTTTAAATTTTTTTCAGACCCGGGTGAAGTATGTTGGAAGTAGATTATCAATAGGACCAAAGTAGTAATTAATTAGAAATTAGAAATGGGAGAATCCCAGTTCCAATGATCGACACTAATCTTGTATTCACACACACAGATATGTGCGTGCGTGTGTGTCTGCCGGCGCGCGCAGCCTGGACGTTGTAGCCGCACTGTTTGGTTGGAAAAGAACGTGGCAACCTAAGATCGCGGAAGGGGACATGCAGACATAAATACATAAAAATTGTAGAAACACTATGCGTCATTGCTCACTGCAGCAGGGACCCACCGTCTTTGAGACTTTCCCACTGATTGCTCCCTCACACACACACACACATATTCAAACAATCAAACAGAAGAAGGGGCCGATTGTAATGCAGGCTAGCTACATTACTTGTGTTGTTTTCAGTTGTCAGAAAAATAAAGAACCGACGAAACCAGCGAAGACGCGGAGCATTATATGTATAGGTGGTGCTCAACGTAACGTTCATTAGCTTTCATTCCGAACTCATGCCCGCTTTTGTACTTTGTCTCTCCTCCGCCAACTCATCCAACTTTTAACCCTCATTGTTTGAGTCTTGTATGCAGCTTGTGAAGGTTTTAAAATCATCTGCACTGTTCATATAAATATTTGTTTTTGGCGCACTGAATTATTATTCGAAGTTGTACGCTTGTTGTCTTTCCTGGATGTTTGAAAATGATTCCGTGGACCTCCCATATAGATTTGCTGGTTTCAAATGTCAAAAAGCTAGTTTACATAGGTGTCCACTCTATGCTCCTCTAATTTAGTTTATTTGGCTTCACACTCTTAATTGCCGCATGCGTTGATTACTAGGTTATAATTATTGGAAACTAGCAGGAATTCACCCTCATTGTCTTCGATGTTTTCTTCTTCTGATAAAATTAGGTCGAGTCGCTCTAGATCTGGGCCCGAAAATCCCAGAAACAAATGAATACTTTATTGTTAAAAAAAAGAATTCAAAGACATCATCGGTTCTGCAGCAGCATGTTTATGCCGAGAACTTTGAGAGTGTAGTAAAATTGCTCAAACATGAATATTAAATTGATCACGAATAGAAACTCAGACTCATCAGGGCATATATTTTAATGGGACTGACGAATTCACATACACACATCTATATAATATAAATGAGAATTTTTTTTTTAATGACGGACGTTGCATATATATAATTATCATGCAAAGCAGGTAATTAAATTATTTACAGAATGAGGGGGTGCGTCTTGCATGAGAAGTGATATTGGATAAGGAGGAGGATGGGTGCAGATGAAGAAGAGAGAGGTGAACAGCTTGATGTCCAAAAGCACCTCGGAGTTGGAGAGCCCCTAGTGCCGTGCATCAACACGCAACATCACACTCGTGAACATGCTGTTACATCCTCGACCATTGCACCCAACAAGCCCTTTCTTTTTCAGTTTTCTTTATTCATTAAAAATATAACAACTGGGACATCATTTCGCAGATCTTGCTTACTACCTGCGACATTGCTCTTCATGGCACAGTATAGGATTCTTTATTCCCCATCCAATTGCATCTCTTTCTCATCCAGTGATATCCGTGTATATATGAGAATAATCCAAAATGTAAATTACCATTTTGACCTGAACTCACTTTGTAGAAAACTCGAATCATATCTTTCACGTCCTATCTCCATTGAGTTAGAAAGTGAAACTTTAATTAATTTGTCACTCCTTAAAAGGATTTCCACGAAACCTGCGTCATCAGCCTAACTCAGTAGTATCTCTGTCAGTCTGTGGCGATCACAAACGTCCAACAAATATCAGACAATGTGCAATTTTAATACCTTCCCATCTCGTGCCAACTTAATCGCTCATAATTATATTCCACCTTCCAAGTTCTAGCCATGCCTATATGTACCTTAGCAAAGAACCGCTTCTTTTAAAAACAAAGTTGGGCTGTTCTCATATGTCCTGCCCGTTCTGGATTATGCCCAAGCGTTAGGCATATAGAAGCTAATTTATACTCTAGATTACACCAGCACACATTATAAAGGCAGCTATAGAGAATATAATATTGAGCAGCAAGTGCATATATACTTTACTGAAAAACACAGTTGTGTCTGTAAGGAGATGAACTGGAGGAGGCCTATTAAAATTTGAAGTGCGGATCCTATAATAAAATAAACGATACTTTAACTAGAATCAGTGAAACTTACACGTTGTCTGCTCTAAGACCGAAGCGTTGAACAGTCGCTGTTTTTACGCATGTCTTCATCTCTCTAATTTCTATCTCTCCGCACAAAATGCTATGTAGACTCCTTATAATAAATCTGAGATCAAATCCGCATACATATACACATGTATATATATATTGTTCAGTTCCACGATCCCAAAATTCAAGGCAGACACGCACTATAAACATAGGGCCGGTCGTTGATCCCTGCAAAGACAACTTTAAGGTAGAGATAGATACAAGCCCCATACTTGGCATATACTCTTATAATCTTATTTATAAATAACTTCTAATATGTTTCATATAGACAAAAAAAAAACCTTAAACTCTCATTTAAAATTTATTAACCTTTTAATTTTATCCCTATTTGATATATTATATCTCATGTAAATAAAGTCAAATAATAATAAATTAAGGTAAAATTTTACATCCATACAAAAATTTCTCTCAATACCCTCTAAATAAGACTAAAAAATGTCTTTTCCCTGTCATATAAATAGAACAAGAGGAGTACTATAAAATAATAATCTGAAACAAGCCATAGAATTAATTTGTCTCATCGACTATCGCATGGCTGTAGAATATTTTTTATAATAAACATTGGCATTGACGACTAACGGAACTCGTACGTTCTTAAAAAGTGGGGAAGTAAACAAGTTAAACTAATAATTATGAAAAAACAATTCTAGCTAATTAAAAAGAGAAAAAGTACTTTTATGTGAAAATTGAAGCGATGATAAAGTATAGTTATGTCATTATATGCCACTTCTGCTTTAGAACTATCAACAGGAAATCTGAGGCAGCTGCTGAATGTATAATTAAAAAAGTTAAAGAAACGTAACAAGTGCAGAATATTATTTTATGATAGGGAGGGAGGGAGAAGGCGATTATAAATATGCGCACGGAGGAGACAGAGTCAGATCTTTTTAAGGAAAGAGGAGAGGGATGTCAGGCTTTTGTAGGAGCGGGAGCAGTGGAGGGAGTGGGACGAAGTGCGGGCGTTGGAATCCCACGGCGGAGCAGCTCAAGCTTCTGACTCACCTCTTCACCTCCGGTCTCCGAACCCCAAGCACCGACCAGATCCAAAAGATCTCCTCTCTCCTCAGCTTTTACGGCCACATCGAGAGCAAGAACGTCTTCTATTGGTTCCAGAACCACAAAGCCCGCGAACGCCTCAAACGCCGCAAACTCACTCCCTCTTCTTCACCCAGTACGTACATGCATTAACCCACTCAGTTATCTCGACATAATTCCTTCTTCTCATTTTGCTGCCATCTAATTTGTTTTTGTTCAAATGTTCCACTCAGATAATAGTGATGGGAATCAGGTGGCGCCGGAGCCGCAGAGAGTGATGGAGACGCTTCAGCTCTTCCCCGTGGACTCGTTGGGCAGATCAGAAGCGGGGAAGCTGAGGGCACATGCTCATGATTGCAGGGACGATCCCGCCGAACCAATGGAAGCCCCTCCCTTGGATCTCCGCTTGAGTTCTCTGTAAAACCACCTTTCCATGTTCCAAATAAGGGAGGGGCATGTTCTTTTAACCTAATTGTAATGTAGTTAGAGCCTCAGGGTTGGAAGAATGACAAGTTTATCTTTAAGAAAACGGGGAAAAAGAATGTATTTTCAGATGAAACAGAATGGCAAACTGTGGGGAACATTCTCCTCTGCGTGCTGGTTGAGGTTGATTTGATGTGTGTTGGATATGTTATGAACGAATGAATGAATGGTCGGGATTCTAATTGACCTGCTCTGATCATGGGAGGCGTTGCCGTACACATGCACAGTGACACATTAGTAGTTGCAGCGGTTGGCGATGCCTCGGGTCTGCTTCCTTCTCTTCAGATTTGGTGAGTGCACGCACCACAATAGTTAGCTGGGAATGTCTTTCGTGGTTCTCTTTAAAAACTGAACCCACGTAAAATCCCAACTCTTTTTTTATGTCCCAATGATACACCGTACCGGTGCTCTAACCCTGGCTCGCCTGGCCATAAGCTCAAGTTTCATAGTGAAAAATTACCATTCTCACATGGAGTCAAATGTATTTATCTCGTGGTTAGTAATTACTTTTAAGGACAAGGATAGTTGGAATCTTTTTCTGTTTTAAAATTGCATTACGTTGTCGATTTGTTGTTGTAAGAGCTGACAAATGCCCCTTTCGCTTTTGAAAAATTGTATGTAGGCATATATATAGAAGTTAATTTAAGAAGGTGTTTGGATGGAAACCAAACTATCTATGATTTTAAAAGTATTTTTACAGTATACGAAATAAATATGTAAAGGAGTTTGCCTTGTTTTACAAAAAAATTGCTTTTTAAAAGTATTTTTTATGTTGCCAAACACCCCAACATTTAAGATATTGAATAATAGTTTGCCATGTTTTAATAGTTTGCCCCTACTAAATTTAAGATATTGAACAATTATTAGGATTATAAACTCATATAATTGTTGTCACCCACCACCATCGCAGCAACAGTATGGCAAGTTACGTTGTGGCTGGCTTACCGTGAAAATTTAAACGTCAATTTTGGCCACAAAAAAAAAAACGTCGGCTGAATATTCAACTGTTGAGCTGGATATTTTTTCTATTTCTAGTGTGCTTAATTAATTCCAATTCCAAGGCGTGTTATCTGATCTTCTTTTGAGATTAACCCCCACTCTTCCCCATTTTCTCTTCTATATTATATTTGGCCCATAAGATAATCAAAGAATGGATAACAGGAGAAGCAGAACGACAATCCCCAAAAATATGTATTATTATTTTTTTTTTTTTGCCATCAATGTACTATAAATGAAACAATAAAAGTATTGTTGTAAATATTGTGTTGTGTGGATGTTCATAACTCCTTAGTCCTTTGGGATTCCTTCTCTGTTAATGGCATTATACCTTATAACTCCCAAATTGAAGGGTTTCAAGTATTGATTTCCTATAACCTCCAATTGTACAATTATGTTGCTTAATTCCTTTCTTTATGTACTTGTAACTCTTTAGGTTAGTCTTCAATATTGGGGTCTTATAAATAGGAGATGATGTACACACATTTGAGACAATGAAGTAAATGAGAACTCCCCCTTAATTTCTCCTATAATTTCCTCTTATTTTCTCCATCTCTCTCATCTCAATCTTTGTACTTTTCTCATTTTTCATAACACGTTATCAGCACGAGTTTGCTCTGAAGATTTGAGGTATGAGCCCTTTGTAAATTAATATATTCTTATAGTATATGATAATACTTTCTACTAACTTCTCCTTACCCAATTATTCTTTTTATCTTATTATCACATCTAATTTTAATTTTCTATATGTTTGCTATATATTATGTTGTTCTTTTATGTTATTTATTAATTTATTCTTTTTATACATTTTAATTCTATTATCTCCCTTTTGTGATATTGTGTTATTTATTTTATTTATTTTTCCATATGTTCTATTGTTTGTTTACATATATCTGTTTATATTATGTCATTTTATATCTATCGCAGTATTATATATATATATGATTATATAATGTTATTTATATTTGATTATGAATTTTAATTTATTTAGTTTATTTCATTACAATATTATTTAATTTCATTTTATTAAATGGCTAGAAGCTATATGTGATTAGATGATCAGAAGTCATATCACTTTTGCAGTTGTTCTTTTGTGAAAGAACACTATGGATACTTTTAAATGGAATGACAAGAAAAATCTATGGCACTTTGATGATTTGATAGTGACAAATATCAAAGCCCTGAAAGTTACATGGTGACAAGTATTGAAGCCCTGAAGGTTACACTGTGACAAGTATTGAAGCCCTGAAGGTTACATTGTGACAAGTATTGAAGCCCTGAAGGTTACACTGTGACAAGTATTGAAGCCCTGAAGGCTACATTGTGACAAGTATCAAAGCCCTGAAGGCTAATAGTTCAAACATCAAATGGCATAAAAGAGCTTTATTTGAAAGATTTTTACTATAGTCCTGAAGACTAATATTTGAATAAATTGATTATGTGCTGCTGAAAGTAAGGAACATGTCTATAAGAGTGATAAAGAGCATGCCCACATTGTACTGTTGGAATTAATAATTAAAGGGCAATAATATTTGATTTTAGCTATTAAACCATAATTGAGGAGATATTGATACCTCTATAGTAAAAAACAATTATGAGTAAATATCATAATATGACCAGAAGTTATATAGACAAATATATGTATCAATCTACTGAAATTAAATGTTAAAATTGGTTATGAAATCAAAAGATCAAGAGATATTATGAAAAATATGAAAATGTAGTTATAATGCCCAAGGTAATGTCTTATAGAGAAATATGTTCAAATTAGTCAAAGTTGAAAAATATAATCATTAGCCCACAAGACTATATCCAGAAGGTTACATAATATTTTTTTAAATTTCTTGTGATTGATTGGTAGAAATATATTATTATAAGTATTTGATATTAAGATATTGATAAACATTAAAAGTAGTTATTGGTCAATTTGAAATGTTAATTTATGGTGCCAATTTACTTGCATATTTATGAATATGAATTGTGAATATAATTTATTTTCATATCAATAGAATAGCCACACAAAAAAAAGGTCATATTATGATATTGGTACTTTATTGTGCTATTTGTGCACAAATTAAAGAGATGATATATTGTTCGTATTTTGTTTATTTATATGCTATTTGTATGATCTTAGTTTGAATGATTTATTGTGATTTATTGACAATAAATTTTATTGTGAGCATTTGAAATTGTTTTGAATTTAACTAAACAAGAAATTAGATGAGAAAGAAAGTTAAGTATTCATACAATGTGTATGTAATTTTTTAAAAGATATATTTTGAGTATTACAAATTAAATAAATAATATATATTAATGTTAAGAAGTTTTGACGATAAGTTCAATTTTACATTTTATTCTCAGAAAGTCTATTTTAAAAGATATTCTATATTTGTGTTCTTTTTAATTATATGAGTTTGTTTATGAGAACAAATTAAGCATGTGCAGATGATAATTATAGTTTAAAAAATTATGATTATTGGATTAATTCAAACATTATTTAATTCTTTAAGTTCATACATTTTGAAAAAGCATAAAAGAAAATTGTATATCTACAATTAAATTAGTTTTTACTGTGACATTTGAGAGAAAAAATCATATGTTTATGTCACATTTGAATTGAGAAAATGGAAATTTATTTAACTTTATGAGAAAATTTATTATAAATAGTTTATATTAATTTCGATTGGTTGGACAAAATCATCTTTGCAGTATGTGTAAATTCTATATATATTACAAGTTAAACTTATGATACTTATAACTATTTATTATTATTTATTACGATGTTATTAAGATGAATTTGTCTCCTTATTCTTCTCAAATTACTTAGTTCCTGAAGAACTAATACATATTTTTCTTTATGGGTAGATAAAGAATTAATGGTAAAAAAAGAAGATATGATTGAAAAGGCATTGGACAACTTGAGAAATTAGTATACCCTGTTATGATAAAATGATAGAGAATGATGCTATTGATAGGGGGACTAAAAGTGATGTTGTCATTAGAGGGAGTAAAGATCATGTTGTACTCTTTTCTTTAGCTAAGATTTTGTCCCACGGGGTTTTTCTGTTAAGGTTTTTTAACGAAGCAACTTCAATATATATTGTGTACTCTTTTTCCTTCACTAGGATTTTGTCCCACTGGGTTTTTCCTAGTAAGGTTTTAACGAGACACAATATTTGTTTATGAACATCCAAGAGGGAGTGTTGTAAATATTATGTTGTGTGGATGTTCATAACTCTTTAGCCCCTTGGGATTCCTTCTCATGGTTAATGGCATTATACCTTATAACTCCCAAATTGAAGGGTTTCAAGTATTGATTTCCTATAACCTCCAATTGAACAATTATGTTGCTTAATTCCTTTCTTTATGTACTTGTAACTCTTTAGGTTAGTCTTCAATATTGGGGTCCTATAAATAGGAGATGATGTACACACATTTGAGACAATGAAGTAAATGAGAACTCCCCCTTAATTTCTCCTCTAATTTCCTCTTATTTTCTCCATCTCCCTCATCTCAATCTTTATACTTTTCTCATTTTTCATAACAAGTATATGTTTATTGATATAAGGAAAATGTAAGCGGCTGTTTGAATTTCTGTTTTTTTTTATAATAGTTATCTTGATAGCTGAGATTTTGTTTTTGTCTTCTTCTTTTTTCGGTGAACATAGGGTGAACATTTTGGTAAACCCCAAGAACAGTCATGGTCTAAGGATGTCCGGGCTGAAAGTGCTGAGAGCCCCACTTAATGGCCCAAATGAAAAGGAAAACATTACAAGGGATTCGTACATCAACAGGTCACCCAGCTTCTAGCCCCTCAAAAAATAATAATAATAATAATTCCTGCTGCCTGGCCAGCATTGGAAGTTTGAAGCGCTGGCGGTTGGGTGTGATTAGTGTACGCCTCAGTCCTCACTGGTTCCTCAGCCAATGGTGCCCTCTGAAGACAAGGGTCCCAACCCAACATCTGGTCGACTCACTGCTTTTCCGCAACGAAGCTTGTCGTTTAAGCCTCAGAATGCAAAACTCCAGCAATTGTTATTTTGGGAAGGGTTTTTCTCCAAACAATCGCTAGTACTGTCCTGAATTCTTATTGCTCTTATTTCGGAGTGGGACCCTTGCCGAGGGATGCTCATGATACAAACCATCAGCCTATTACCAAATCTTAATGTTCCCTTCCAGCACATTGTTTAATTCCTGTCCTTCATTTGCAGTGAAAATTAACCAATGAAATGATGCTGCTCAAATACTTATCATCATCTCTCATCATAAATGTAACTGCCCTCCCCAGCTTGATCGACACGGTGGTGCACTCCATTGCATTCTGATTCTTGTCGATTTCTTTTCTGGAGGCACTAGCTAGCAGATATATACTCTTCCTCTGCTTACTACTATGATTAATGTCCTTCAGATATTTGAAGTATGATCGAATGGTTTCAGTTGGTGAACAAGTTTGAAAACAGCATCTTTAAAGTCATGGAATTAAGCAGCATGTTTAGTTGAATCGGATGGGTAATAAAGTCATGAGTTTTGGTGTTTTTCAGTAACGAGGAGCTTGATCACCATCAAGCTGAATGATTTTTTCCCTCTACAGTTAAGCTCGTGGAGGAATCAAGTTTACAAGACTTCCTGCCCTCCATAACAAGGGATTACACGAGTCTTTATTCCTATATCCTTTCAAAGTTTCATCAGACATAACTATCAAATTGTACATTTCCTTTTATATAGATAACGAAGCAGTTTAATGACGTGAGATCAGCTCAGATGGTAAGCCTTTGTGAGAATAGTATAGTAATTAAACAATTATCCGTAGTAGTGTAATTGAAGAGAAATAAATATATAATATTATTTTGTGTACGTGCTGTTAGTTTTTCATCTTCATGTGTATACTCGTATTTTTATTTGGCTGAAATGCAGAATGGAAAGTGATTCAATATGGACGAGGAAAGCACATGGGATGAGCCTTGCTTCAGACGAGGATAGAAAATGGCCGGAATCGGAAGCCTGCGGACTTGAGAAACAGAATTCAGACAAACAACGATCGAAAAAATAAAAAAAGGGAGGGCATAGATATATTTGAATAATTGGGGAGGCGGAGGGTGGGCGGTGAAAGGCACATGAATTGAAAATAAATGGCACGCTTGGCCGTCATCTAATATCCCTATGTGCGTTGAACTCAACTCGCTGGGTTCATTGCACCTGGGGACCATGTTTGGAGAGGATGAGATGCCCAAATGAATATTGCACAGATTGAGTTGAGGAGCGTGGTAGCGAAATTAGAGGCATTCTATGGAATGGATATGGGCTCAGCCTCTGCATATATATTTGTCACTTGCTCAGCCACTGTAGCTGCTCAGTTTGGACTTTTCTTCTAATCATGGCGCACCCTCTTATGTGTTGACCCCTGCGCCATCCCCCCATCCAATTGTGTTATGGTTTCTTTCTTTCACTGTACTCTATGAAGTTTGTTTTTTTTTTTTTTTGGTCGATAGTATATAGGAACATGAGGTATGACGTAGTTTATTAGGCTGAAGTAAGTCTGAATTTTAATTTCCTGAGGGTAATTAAAGTCTGATTATATTTAAGTAAGGGCTTGTCGCCGGCGCCACTAAGCAGGAGTTTAGTGGATTTGTTGGTGTGGGTGCGATGCAACAGTATTTGTGCCTCGTGGTGGGGTTGAAGCCATGAGTGCCCTTCGCCCTTCATTGTTGCCTTTCTGGTGAATAGATCAGGGTCAACGAAATTTATTACTTTATAATAAATATAAAAACTAGTTAATTAATTTGAGTGAATTTAAAAAGTTTGTTAGATTAGTTATTTATAATAAATAGATATTTTTTTCAAATACTTCTGCTAATCATATGTATTAATTATAACTACAATTTAATAAAATTTTTAACATATATAGCTACCACAAGAGTATAAATTTTTTTTAAAAAATGGATAAATATAAGAAAAAAATAAATTAAAATCAAATCAAAAATAAAACTAACTTTTATTTATTAAGTACTGAAAGTGATATTTTTGTTTCTTATCCCGTCGATTGTCAACTTTTGCATCAAATTTGGAATCCTGCAGCGAAGTACACCTGAATTTCCAATGTGTTGCATAACATGAACCTGGTTCTGACATGATGTTCCCCTCCCGTGGCCAGCGGCGTGGATTCAAAACCGACTTTCTCAAGTCATCTCACAATGATTCATTAGGAACCCAAGTGCCCAAAAAAGCCAAAAAAAATGTTAATATAATTTTTATTCTCTTAAATTTATTCTTATTTTAATTTTATGATCTTAAATTTTAATTTGTAAGTTTTATTTTTTCAAGAGACAAAATAATCTATATTTTATTAAATTATAGAGACAAATATTTAAGAAAAGAAAGAGCGGAAGCTCATAAGGCGAATTTACTGAAAGTGGATGAATGGATTAGACCATAGGAGCATGGAGGATTTGATCCTCCGCCTCGACTATTTGTTGCCGCTGTGCTGCAGATCCTGTACTGTGGGTTACTTGCCATAGCAAATACATCAACACAGAGAAATAATTTGCCATGCAAATGGGCTGCTTCATTACATTTTGCTCGCAACTTCAGCGCGTCCAAGTCCTCAAATTTTTCTAGTAATCAACACTCTGGCCTCAAGGCAGAGAAAAAACATCTTTTATCCTATTTATATTTTTTTTAAAAAATATTTATTAAATAGGGTTAAAGTTGTTAAATTTTATATGTAATTAATAAAGTTTTTTTTAAATTTCAATAAAACATGTTGCAAGTCACTTGTAAAGAGGATGAAAGGAGTGTGTATTGTCCTACATGGAATGCACAAAATATGAACAATAAGTTGCAATGTTTATAATAATATTTTGATTGACGATGATTGGGCCTTTTCTTCCTTAATATCAATGTTTAACATAAAATATAAGAATAGTAATTAATTACACTTGAAGGAAAAATGACAATACATATCCGTAGTAATTTTAATTTAAAATTTTAAAAACTCAAAAGGTATTTGTGTTAGATTTTCTGAAAAAATTATGAAGGGCCACATTATTTTCTTGCGGAACGTGTAATCCAATTTGCTGGATATCAAGACACAGGATAGAGGAAAAGAAGATCAAAGCATCAGACAATGAAACGATTCAGAGCAAAGGCGGTTACTGATGTCTCCCCGAAACGGAGGCACTGTGTCATTAAGGCAGGGCATATGTAAGATGTAAGGGCCAGGTGGTGGAGTGGTCAAACTGTCCAAGCGGAGCAATTTGCACGTGTTACTATAAACTCAGATCATGTATCATGGGGGCGCGGCTTTCTTCACAAATCATTCCCGCTCTCTTCGTCTGGGACTCAGCCACCAGTCCACCACCACACTTTGAAATCCTCTTTGCCGCCAAAAACAAGTTGTGCCCACTGAATGAACAGTATCAAATTATCAATCCCAGCACGATGCGCAACCAATCCAACGATAACGAATTACGCTTTGAATTACCAGAGAAACGAGAGACAGAGAGCAGAGCCACTGAACGCCTAGTTAATCAATAAATAAATATATTCAATAATCATAACCACAACACTTATTAGTTATTATTTTCAGGCCAAAAACAAAAACACTGATCAGTTATTTCATTCATACACTGGCCAAAAATTAAATTGAAAATACAATATTCTCGTGAAGCAGGGGCAGCCCCTTCAAACAGCATGTAACTGCAAGCACGACGCGTATCGCATGAACTCTGAGTCCGACTCCAATCCCGCCATGGTTTCGGGGGCCAACACCACCTCCAAATCGACGCTCCCCCTGCCCCCTCTGCCTGGAAAAGCCGAGATCTTCCCGTCGAACTTATTGGCCCCACCGCTTCGAACCGCCACCGGCCTGCCCCACCCGAAATCATTGTCGTACATTGGGAATCTCGGCGAGCTCCCCATGGTGATGGATGCACCGTCCGGATTCCCCAGCGGGAAGCACCTCGGGTTCCTCTCCCACTCCTCTACGAGCCGTCTCACCGTAGCGTCGTCGTGCGCCCTCACGTTCTTGTTCAGTTGCTCCGCGCACCACCGCAAATCCCTCAACACCACGTCGCCTGCCGACGCGTACGTCGGTATGCTCTGAATCGCATTCCCGAAGTAGTACTGATCCAATTTAGGTTCTAGCCTGTGCCGACAGTTAACCGCCATTCTGAATGTCGTCGTTTTCGACGCTGGCAACTTCCTGGCGCTCGTTACCGCCCGCCAGAGCAGTGCGCAAAGCGACTGAAACGACGATATCTCCACCGTTTCAGCGTCCGCACTTTTGACCCTGTTCTCGGGCCTGAACGTTACTATCCTGTTCTCCTTCTGGTAAGGATCGTTGCTCTGCTTCCCCATCAACTCTGCGGCGCTGGTGACGTCACCGTTTTCGTTGCCTGTCCATCTCCTGCTATTCGTTCTGGCTTTCAGCTTTTGGATTGCCTCGCGGCTAAAGCTGAAAATTCGCTCCCGCAGCGGCCCGTCGGCTTTGAAGGTGACCTTCGGCCCGCCTTCTGGGAAATGGAGCACCGCTTTCGAGATGAGAACGGACTCCCGACGGAAGTCCGCCACCTTGGAAATATTGTTGACTCCTCTGAAGACTTCGGCGAAAGTATTGAAGAAATTCCAGAAGGAGGTCCCGTCTGTAACGGCGTGGTTGACGGAACAGCCGATGAAAACACCGTCTGCCAGCTCGGTGACCTGAACGGCCAAAATCGGGCTGAAATGACCACTGTAACTAACTTTCCTGTCAAAAGTGAAGAATTGCCTGAAGGATTCGGGGACATCGGGTGGAGCCAGGAGGTCGCGGGTGAAGAATCCGGTGGCAGTGGCGTGAAGGAAATCGACGCCGGCATCGTTGCAGGTGATGTAGACGTAGCCAACGGAATCGGTCCTGAAGCGGCCTGCCAGGGGAGGAAAGAAGGAGAGAGTGCGAGAGAGAGCGGACTTGAGGAGAGGGATGAAAGGATGAAAAGGGAGGAGATGGGGAGGAAGGGTGAAGAGGCAGCCCTTCTGGATGTAGTGGCAGGAGAGCATGGGAAGGTCGGAGACGGAGAGCTTGAGGTCTCCGAGGGTGGACTTGCGATCAGGGAAAACGGTGCATTTGGAAACCAGGGCGGGTGTAGAAGAAGGCATGTTGTCAAGTTTCAAACTCTTATGCAGGAATCAGGAATTCGGAACCGGAACCGGAACCGGGATTGGAATTGGAATGGTGGTCTGGTGTCTCTTCCGCACTCAGTCCGTCGCTGGGGAGCAATAGGCCAGTGAGGACTGAAGGGCGGAGTTGGGAGGGAAAGGCGGGAGTGTTGGGGTATTTATGAGCTGGGGAGCAAGCCCTCGGTTCATGCACCCCGGCGATGCGGAGGTGGCTTTTTATTTTCTATTTTTTTTTAAAAGGAACAGTCCGGTGATTTCATCATCATCAATTTTGCATTGTTTATATTAGCCCAGGCCACATCAGGCCGGAATAAAAAATTATATTCCATAATATTACTTACATCAAAGCAGATTTAAAACAAATTACTATTAGAAGCTCGCACCTCCATTCAGAATTTAAAATGGTTAGTAGTTCTGTGTGTTGTACCAGAATATTTTTCTATTGGTCAGAGCTGAGCGTTATTATATAAGACCTCCACAACAAAAATTAATTAGCCAACATAATAAGTTATTATAATTAATCATGACGGAGAGAATACTATATTCTGTTCCAAGTCTGACTTTGGTACTGTAGGAAGGAGGGCGTAAAATTAAAATCTTGCGGTGCAATAACGCGACGAAATAAATAAAAAGAAAGGGAGGGAGGGGAATAATTAAATTAAATAAACAAGAAATAACTAGAAATAAAGTTTGGTATGTCCGATGTGCTCTTCTCGTCATTTTGGTAATTGATGAATGAGTGTTTTTGTTGTTAGCGAGCCGTGGAATTAGTATCCGAGAGGAGTAAGGCAGGCGAAACACGGGACCGAGTACATCGTGTTAAATGTACTGTGGAAGATGGCGGATTGAGCGTTTTAGTTTTAATAAGCGGAATAATTAATAAAGAAGCAGGCGTGGTCGCTGAATGTATTAGTTGAATTTTTGTAACTTAGAAGAATGGGGTAAGAGTAGGATGATGCGTATGTGATTGTAGGACACGTCAGGCATGACAAACTGAATTGAATACGTGCACGTGATTGGAAGGGGATGGAGAGAAAAGGGACGAAACGGTAATTTATAAAATGGAGAGCGAGCATGCATATGTAATTGAAGTATAGGGGGAAGACAGGATCAATGCTAAATGTGATCGAGGAGGGTAGAGATCAGACTTCAGAGAAGAGTGAGAGAGGCCGTGAATATATGAAATCTGATAGTACCCTTCTGATCCTTAATATAAGACCCATTTAACTAATTTGATTAGATTAAAGAAGTTAGGTAAGTTAGTTAATTATAAAAAATGTGACACGTTTTTCCTAAAATACCATAATCATCTTTCTTAATACTACACTTGATTATGGTGAGGGAGTATCTATAGGGTAATTTAGAGAAAATTGATAAATATGAGAAATGGGTCTTATATTTAGGATCAAAACCAACTCAAGAATTGGATCCTATATTAAGAACCAGAGAAGTAACATATAATACTCTACAAAGGAGCTGGCCAGATGGATATGGGGAGTGATACGAGCAAGCGGGATTTGGAGGGGACCACGTGGGAGCGGACCTTCATAGCCTGGAATTGCAAACCCAGAGAGATCTCCCTCTCCCTCTGCTGGATACGACTATAGGTGAAGAGGCAGCAGCGAGGAAGATGCGCGCATCTATCTATATATATATTTTATATAACGCAATTTGGAGATTCCTAAGGATCTCTTGGATTTTTCCTTAAAATCTCCGCAGTATCCCAGCTCAATCCATTCATCTTTTTCTACAATATCAATCACACGGTACAAATCCCATCCTATATTCGATCTATCGGTCAACACTGCTGTCGCTTCTTACTGGCTTCCCACATACGCCCACATCGCTCTTCTCTCCGGCCCTCTTCAAACCGGGCATGCACGTACCCTTTGCAACCGCTGCTTCAGGCCCCGGCTAACGAAACAATACATCGAGAGGCATGAGCCATGCAAATCAAATTATCCATGATCCATAATTATAACTATTACGAGTAGTTCATGAAGAATATGTACAGCGAACGAAAGATGAGATGATGAAGAAATTAAAGCGCCGACATTTCACGTTCTGGAATTGGGCTGTCATCGGAATCGCTGAGGGGGTCCGCCCCTCAGAATCTTAACGGCTCAGCTAATCATGAACTGTCCCAATAATAACTAAATCCAATACCATTCCATTAAGGCTAGTCGGGGGTGAGAATACCTTATTATATTCACGTAACATATGTTCTCCTTCTGGCGGTTTTCATTATACTAACTAAAACTATAATATAATATAATAATAATATTCAGGGCGGAACTCGGCACTGCATTATCTATTTGAAAATGGAGGGGTCGGTTGGTACTCAAGAATCTCCCTCAACCGCCATCCCTCTGATTTGTCGGTTTGTGTCAGAATCTCTAATAAATGATTGATGATTAATGAAGCCAATACGATTAGCGTAATCCGGTTTTGCTGTTTTTAAAAAATAGTTTGACTAATGAAGAAGCAAGTCACTTGATATTCATTTAAACCCCAAAAAGAAGAGGCTGGCTCTCTGGAGCAGAGGTGTCGTATCATAATATTGCCACTCTAGACAGTACTGGCATCCTCACGGCCTCGGAATGCGCCACGTGTTTCACAGAAGGGCCACCCAGGAGAGAAGTTCTCAACATCCCCACTCCCACACCCAAGGCTTCGCTGGCTCGTGTGCTGTACCTTACTGTTCGCCACGTGTGTGGTGTTTTGTCACTGTGGTGTTCTTGAATAGTGAATACGAACCCTTTCCTTTCCTTTCCTTTTGGCATGGGCGGAGGCAGTTCCAAGACCTTCAAGCGCAGCGCTGAGTTGAGTGCTGTGTTTGGGACAGTATTAACTGAGGCTTCAATCCATCCATATTAACTGGCATGTGATGACTTTGCATGTCTCATCATCTATATTTATTCTGATTTATTTAATGTATGCAATGGCTCAATAAACTGAACTAAAGTAATCTGGCCATAAATATCAATAAAATAATTAGGATTCTGTTCATCAGCATTATTAAAATTACTTATAAATATGTTTTATGTAAACTGAGATAAAATTTTTCTCACATATTTACCTCTTATTCAGTAAATTATAATTAAAAAACTATATATAAGTTATTCCAAATGGATATGAAATGAGCTAGCAAATCTCTGCATCGGGTGTGAGGAATAAATGAGGATATATGTGGAAGTGGGGAGGGGGCAACATATAAAGGAACAGTGAATGTCATCGGCAAGAAGGGGAGCAGCCGATGAGTCAATAATGCATGCACCCTCTCATGTCACATTAACTTAATCTCACCGCCTCAGGCCTCCGCCACAGCTGCCTCCTGTTAATGTCAACTTGCGAGTATGACCCCATACGTCAAACCAGTTGACCCCTCAAATAAATATTCCTTTTTTATTTTATTCCTTAACTCCTCTTCTTTCATGCTTCCTGATATATTTGTTAATTTAGGCATGCATAATACTCCTTCAATATTAAATATAAGGCTCGTTTCTTAGTTATTACAAAGTGAATCTTATGTTTAAGATTGAAGGAGTATTATTATCAAAGGCTGCATCACTGTAGACGACATTTGCGGCATGTATTGCCATTTCATTTTGGATTTAAGTGTACATACGTAGTTAACTCCCTTGTTGTCTGGCTGAAATTGGAATGCAGGTTTTTTAATTAAGCACGGATATCCCACTACTATTAAAAGCCTGTTAAGCAAAAATTGAAATGGTAATTTAGTGATGAAGATGGAGGGAGAGGATAGATGCATGTCGTTGAATATTTTAGTGGCAACAAGCTAAATGCGATGCATGCACTCTCTCTACGTCATTTCTGTTGCGGAATATTAAAAGGCTTAGCTCAGTGTTTTTTAATTAATTAATCAGCTAATGCTAACGCCATCCTGCATTGTTCCATGTCATCTAGAGCCATCTGGCAATCAACACAAAGTCATATAGAAATCCCATGTGAACAGCCTTAGCCACCCCTCCGTTCATCCATTCTATACGTTTCTCCTCCCTTTCTTGAGATTACCAATTAATAATATGATAATAAATTCGTCACTGCAGGCAATGATCATATTTCAAGCACTCCAGTCCAATCAAATATAAACAGTCTTCCTTGGACGGTGAGGTCATGCCCAAATAATCGAGCCATTCGTTCATTTTACTTTATATATTAATCGGCAATATGATTAATATGTTAAATTTTTTTTTTCAACTTCCTTAATTTGCCCTTATTTAATTATTATTTTTTAGGGTTGTGTCAATCATACACAAGGGTATGTATAATTGACAAAACTAATGGTTAATCCCGACTTTAATTTTTAAAGTGAGACACGCATATAGAGAGAGAATTATAGAAATGATTTTTTCCTTAAAAAAAAAAAAGGTGACGGGTGCAAATAATTAAATAAGGAGATGGAGGGAGTGTTATTTAACTTAATCGTCTAATCCATGTTCAATACTTCAATATGTTTGGTGGGGGATAGAAATATAAATAAAAGTGGCGCGGAAGATAACAAAAGGATATGCAGTACAGCACTAGTAAGTTGTGACAAGCAGATTATCAAGATTTTTATTCTTTTCTTTTTCAAAAGAATCATAAGTTCATAACCATCCGTCATGAGTCTAAGAAGAGTTTCGGTGCCGATTAGGATGAAATAAACCTCCCAATTTAAAAGAATATTTAAAAATAAATAAAAAACGGTTTACTAACGGAATCATCACATATCAAGAGAGAATGAAGATCCTGAACATATATAACCCGCACCCGCATGATTATCAACTAAACCATCTCTTAAACAGCAAGAAGTTATATACAGCCCCAGTGTTTTTTCGATCCCCCCAGTCAAGAACCAGACTGAAATAAAACAAGAAAACTAACAGATCCCTAAAGCTGGCGCTAAATCTACGAGTAAACAGATTCGCTTATTAAATCAACACAGCACTCTCTATCGAGGGACGAATGATTTTTTATCCGTATAATTTTAGTCAGCTTTTAAATTGGTCCCTGTGATTTGATTTGAACTTTTCCAAATCACTCCCCTAGTTTTCTTACTTTTTAAGAGCTAGGATTAATTCCTATGAGCAGGGCGGGGTTTAGAATTAATCTTCACAAATTCAAGCCACGTGGGAGCCTAAACGCATAGAATTTATGATTTCTTCTCTCTGTTTTTTTTTTTTTAAATAACAGAATTTTAGGTGAGATTGGGCCCAACCCAAATTTATAGCGGGACGCTTGCTCTAGCTCCTCCTAGATGATACTACCCCCGGTTTTAATTATAAAAGCTACTTGACTAATTTGAGGAGATTAAAAAAATAAATTAAGTTAGTTATTTATAATAAATAGGTATCGTATTTTCTAAAATATCCTTACTAATCAAGTTTATTGGCCATAACTACCATTATTAGATGGACTATCTTGAGAAAAAATGCATAAATATGAGAGACAAAGTGGATTTGGGGTCTTATAATTAATATCAAAATAAAAGTCAAGCGATGTCTTATATTAAGGACCGGAGGTAATATTATGTAAGGAACTCTTAAAATTGTATGGATAAAACTTATGAGTTCTAATGTTGCAAAATTGTCAGGATGAACTTTCAATGTTGAAGCGGATAAAATTACCAGGAATATAATATAAAATTTATAAATCATAGAGCTAATTTGAAATTCAGAGAGTCTATGAGAGGATTAGAAGATTAATTTTCTTATTTTCTAGCTTATTAGTTTCAAAGAGCGAGAACACACAGCCTAACAGGTAACGGGAAGGAAAAAAGAAAAAACCATGAGTGTGCCCGAAAGAATGAGCTGGCCGGGTTAAATTAATGAATTAGGCATGCGAGAAAAGTTGATAATTTATTCAGGCTCAAATCTCAACATAATGCGCTGGTACTCAGGTTGGCGTATATTAATAGGAGGATGCAGGGGATGGATAACGTTAATCACTTGGAAATTACAAACGAACACCTTTGTCAAAATGGTGATGGATATGAGAGATTATAGAGGTGTTTGGCTATTGTCAAAAACACTTTCTAAAAACACTTTTCAGTAAAACGAGGCAAACTCCTTTACATATTTGCTTTGCAAATTGTAAAAACACGTTTAAAATTATGATTTGGTTTATATCCAAACACTCTCTATATATCGGATTGTCGGTGATGGTAGTGAAAGCCCCCGCATCTTCACTCAACTTTGGAAAAATCTCAATTTAAAATCCCAAATCAAGAATTGTTATAAAAATATATGGTAATTTACTTTTTAAATGTAGTAAACTGTTATTAAAATATAGTAGATAAGATTGACTTAATGTTTATTGATTTTCTCAAATTTATTCAACGTGGGATTTTCTATATGAATCCAAATCCATTCATCCTTGAACATTACAGGCATGGGTGTGGTTAAGGGTACAAAGAAATTAAACACGCGCGTTATGGGCATAGCGGAAAGAAGGTTTTTCTTTTTTTTTTTTCTCCCTCCCCGTTTAAACTAAACATGTGATTGTGTGATGATCCGACATAACAAACGTTGAGCCGTTGATGATAGAAGCTGGTCACTATTAGTCGGATGAAGTTTGGTTTTAAGGCAAAGCTCCTGATTTTGAAAATATAATATTTATATTTACAGATCCCTATTACAGGTCTTATCCATAAAAAAATAAAAACTTTTTAACTTGAATAAATTTTAAAATACATATTTATTATGAAATATTTTATTTTTTATATCTGGACTCTCTGTTTTACTCCTCACCTGCTTTTTCAGATGGGCCGGGGTGGGGAGGAACGAAGATCCGCCTCTTCTGACAAAGTAAACAGCCCATGTTGCGTGGGCTAGGATTGAGAGTTTTGTGTTAAGAATGAACAAAGCATTAACGTCAATCAAAATGGAACTCTGCCCTGTCCGACCCAAGTCAGGGCCGCAAATGAGAGGCGGGACAAATTACGAACGTCCAACGTGTTTTCTAATTGACATTAAATAACGGTCCTTATATTAAGACTTATTTAACTAATTTGATTAGATTAAGAAAATTAGATAAGTTAGATAATTATAAGAAATATGATTTTTTTTAAAAATACCATAATCATCTTTCTTAATATCTTCTCTTCCTCTTCTACTTGATTATAGTTGATGGAGTATCTATAGAGTAATTTAGAAAAAATTGATAAATATAAAAAATGGATCTTATATTTAGGATCAAAACTAACTCAACAATTGGATTTTATATTAAAGACCGGAAGAGTACCTCGCAAGAATACAATTGTCACTGCAAATGACACCATTACAATAACACTAATCAAATGGCGTTACGCTAATCTAGTGGTGGAATTCATGATTCAAAAACACTCATTTAGTTGGACAATTTGTTCTTCTATTCCAAGTTTTATCGGGAACGTGTTTAAATTGGTCTGGACACGTTGGATATTTACCCACATCATTCACGCTCAGATCCCAGCAACTCCTGTTGGACCAGAAAGTAAGTACCAATTTTACCAGTATATCCGGAACCAAACCAGCACCTGAGTCAGGAGAATAACTTGTTCTACGTCTATTAATACGATAGGAACTGTACCAAACCAATCACAGCTGGACTAATCAAATTATAATTTTAAATTTAAATGGGAAAATATCACAATAAATGGTCATCGAGTAATGAGCAGTTTCTACCGATTATGACTTTTTTAAAAAATTGTTTTTATCAAATTACATGTTACAGGTTATCAGCTAATAGCTGGTATTCTGTAAATAATAATAATTAAAAGGCTGTTTCCAAAGGACTCTTGAGTAGTTTCGAAATCATTGTAAATCAGAATAAGGCCCATGCCTTTCCACCGTTCACGTCAATCCAGCCGATCTTATTATCCTGCTCGATCAACATTGTGTTTTTTCCCCCACCCAAAGCTATTGCCAACAGATATGAAGGATAAATAAATCCTCTTTTTCAATATTACAAGTGACATATATCACATATGTAAACTAAGGCATACAAGTCATTCTGCAGGCACTATTCATAATTGGTATTCTTCCAAAGTTCTCCTCCATATTTTCAAACACCGCCTTAATATGCGTCCCAATGAAATTATTAATCACATGCTACTAAATTCTGATTCAAAAAAACCAATTTTATGACGATCTGGCCGCGCATATATTAAACATCGCATAGAGAAAGTTGTTGTCCCAAGTTTATGGATATCCTCAACAAGGGCAAATGCATGTCAAACAAAGAAATTTTGAATCCTACAATACATCATTAAATTCAGAGGAGGGCGCCAACACTAAATAGCAGGTTCTTTTGCTGTGTTCATTGGCAACAATATCATGGAACTTACCAAAAGAATTCCATATTACACATTTCTATCATTTATATATGCAACTTTTGGCAGTAATTAGTCAAAAAATAGCAAGTCACAGCACAAGTCATCACAGGATTTCATCATAAACTGCAAATTGTGGCCTTAATTGCAACTTTCAGCGGCCTATCTACAACATAAGAGTGAGTGTTGCCCAACCCGAACGGTCTATAATTAGTCAAAAGAAATCAGGTCTTAACATAATGCATCATAGGAGCTTTCCCAAATCATTGCTTCCAATAAAGTGTGTTTTGCAGCTATTGATCTATACTGGTTTCTGTTAAGCAGCTGAAGATCTTATCAGGCAGACAAATACTTGAACAGTAGGCTCAAATAATTATTGCAACTAGAAATTCTTAGGAACAAAGACTCGGAATTTGGAACTATCAACCCATGCATCAATCCTCTTCCATCCTAACAACATAAACTGATAAGCAATCTCAACAGCCAAAGACTAATAAGCAAACCAGCTTTATTTCTTTATAGAGAACTGCATAAACTTAGGGAGGTTATCATAGGATAAACTGTTAATTACTTCACTGGGCCGCAAACAGCGCACCACAGATGCGTAAATACTACTCGGAGACGAAATATATACATGCATACTGGAATAATAGAGAATTGACCTTCAAAGTTCAAACCTTGGCAAAATAGCCACTAAAAAATCAGAAGTCTCGATAACGATAATCGCTATAATCATCCCGGGTAGCCATGTCATTTTCAACCTTTTCGGCAACCTTTTCCTCTTCATATTTCAGACCCTCCCCAAGAGCAAGCCCACCCAAAGAACCAGCAACAGCGCCCACTGCAAGCCCCGCACCCATACCCATTTTCCCACTCTTCGGCTTGTGATCATACGACGAATAATCAAGCGGAGCTGACGGCCCGCTAGGCCCACCATAATTCACCGGACGATCAAAGAAAGGCCTTGGCGGGGGCGGCGGAGGAGGAGCGCTGGAGTAATATCCAGGATAGTACCCAGAGTACGCATCCGGGTACGAGCTGTAAGAAGAGTACGGTGGAGGAGACGGCGAAGGTGAGTATCCCCTGAAATCGCGAGCAGAAGGCGGAGGAATCGGATTTGTCGGTATATAGCATACCAATGGAGGGCTAGGGTTTGCGTAGTCTATGGTTGGGGGCAGAGGACGTCCAAGAAGACCGAGCTTCAGATGGATCTTACCCTGAGGGCGACCGGAGGGGCGCGTGAGAGTGAACTTCCGGAGCCGGGTTGAATCTTCCAGGTCGTCGACGTCCTTGAGTGAGAGACGGAGTGTGCCGACTAAGGGCTTGGGCGTTTCTGAGGGTTTAGAATGGAAAATCTCAAGGGTGAGGAAGGAATCTTGGAGAGAGTGGGCGAGAGGGAGAGTGAAGCGTTCGTTCCAGACAGGGCAGGTAGAACCCGAGTCATCGGATTTGGTGGCGAGACGACGGTCCGGGTCGACCCAGAAGACAACATAGGGCTTGAGATCCCCGTTTTTCCAGTTGACGTTCTTGAGATGCTTGGCTGAGACGATGGTGAGGTCGAGATCCAAGGGCTTCGATGGCGGGGGGCGAGGAGACGCCATGGGCTCTATCTTTTGCGCCGACGTGCGGAAGCAGAGGATGGTGAACGTCCACGATACGGAGGAGGAGGAAACTGGAATTTTGTTCTCCCTACGCGGTTTCGTTTCGTTTCTGCTTTGTGAAGCCGCCTACAAAAAGCCAAGTGCTTTTTGTTTACTCCCTTCTCGTCATCAGCTGGTCAGCTCGATGGTTTTTGGCACCCTTGAATCCACGAATTAGAATTTTGAGGCCCAAACAATTCCATTAGAATTTTATCTTGGGCCCATATTTAGTGGCCCCAGACTCGAGAATTTTTATTTGGATAGAAGACAAAATTTATATAACATAATGAAATGAGTATATAAAGAGGTTGGTCAGTCATATTAAGTCAATTTAAGTAAAGCGTAAATAAACCAATAAAATAGAAAACCCACCCAAAACATATGCAACGTGAAAATAACAGACGAAGTAATAACTAACAAAACAAAAAACTACAAGTATAAAAACATAAAAAACATTGAAGTAACACTTTCTATCATTGGGACCTCACAATCAAAGCAATAAGAAAGATTCTAGTTCGAGTACGAGCCGCGACTCATACTGGCTAAGATACTACTATCCATGATACTTTAAAATCCCAATAACCATAAACATCTTTTATACTAATTACTATACGGAATCAAGAGCTGAAGCTCGAACGTAGATACCTCGTAGGGCATTAAAGAAGTCCCTAGCAGGATGCACTGGAGAGCAAAGATTTGGCATGAAAGCCAAAGCAAAGACATGCCAATAAACATCTCATATGCCGTTCAAGAATTTGTAGGAAACTTGAGAGCTTTCATGCTTTTGTTTGTTTTGAAAGTCTAAGGGGGCAGACTCCAATCCTTTTCTGCCTGTTGGCCGAGGTCTGGGGAGTTATACTCTGTTTCTGAGAAAGCGGGTAACTGCTAAGGGAAACTTACCCGTATAAGAATGAGGAACAAGGAAAGAAGTGGCGCTTCCGAGTGAAGCATCACTCTGCGCGTTTTATAAAAACAGCGTCAGAACATAAACATTGGCCACGTCGTTTTGTTTTGGTGGTACGTTGCTCATATTTTAGGGGGAGATAATGATGATCCATCCACATGTTTTATCAGCAGAGAGCGAGCCATGTTTAGAAGACGAGCATCTTCCAAGCTCAAAGCACCTTCACGTTAAATTCCTCAAATTTTACTGTTTAGATTAATTTATTTCAAGTGATGTTGAATTATATTCTAAAATTTTGTATGCAATCAATTTCATCTCAAATTAAATAAAAAGCATTTTGTTAAGCAATCGCAAAGGTTTCGCTAAGACTTTCACCCACCTTAATTGGGATAAAACTTCTATCAAAATACTCTAATCGCATTCGAAACCCTTTAATCTGGTGGCTTGTCTGGTCAAAAAAAAAAAAAAATCTGGTGGCTTGATTATTAGAACCCGATAAAGGTCCGCAAAATCTGCGTATCAATATTCAATGCAACGAGGCTGCCTCGGGGACCCGGGGAATGGATTGCATATAAGGGATAGCGAAGACACGAACTCGGCTGATCCAAACATCAGTATTATTAAACAACAAAAATAAAGAAGAACACGCGTCACAAGGAAAAAAAGAATCACGGGACAGCCCCGCAGGCGAATGATTATACTCCCTTTTAAATTTATTATAAACTAATTGATGAATAATAAATAATAAGTTAAAAACAATAAATACGCTAAAAATAGAGTTTTGTTTTTAAACATGTCTATATAATAATTAAGAAAAAAAGATGAAATAATTGTAGAAAAACATGATAAGATGGAAATAATTAAGGACAACATTAAAAAATACATTAAATGTTAAGACAAATTTAAATCATAGTCCATAAAATGGAATATACCCCTTCTTAAGGTTAAAATTTATAAATAGGACCGAAAGGAGTAATTATCAAAAAAATATTTGATAATTTTTTTTGGGTTTACTTCCAAATCTCCCGAATTTATCTATATTGTTTTTGTTCAACAATTTTCTTTTAAACTGGCAAAATAATTATTTCAGTAAGTTGTTTTTATTTCAGTTCAAATTCTTTAAAGAATTTTGCAATCTCTCGCGCTGAAATATAATACTAAATATATTTTTTTATTTCAAACTATGATTTTATATCTCCAAATGCAAAAAGATTTCATTTTTGGAAAACTATGGTTTCATGTGGAGACCGTGGTTTTCAATTTAAAAGTGATATTGTAAAAAAAAAAAAAAGTGTTTGAATGATTTTTCCGCAATTGAAGAAGTGCCCAAACACTTCCTAAAATATAAATTGTATCTTAATAAAAGAGTCAATCTTATTAATTATAAACATAATGCATAATTTTTTCTCATTTGTTTCTTATGTCATACCAATTCTAATATTAATTATAAGACTTTATTTGTGTTAAAAAAAGAAAGTATGTAATTTGGAATTTTATGACGTGTTAATATGCCGGGTTTTTTTCCCCATAAACAGCCCTGTAATAAATTTTAAATTATTCTATGCAAACACGCGTAAATAATCGGTACAGGGGGGGGGGGGAACCATAATAAGTTTATAGAAGAAAATTGAACACATTCACCCACGTGTCTTCCCTCGTTGTCACCACTCGCCCCTCCTCTCCTCTTCCGCTTCCAGCCTCCTGCGTTAGCGGGAGGAAGATGAGGACATGACAGTGGCCATAATTTGAATGCCGCTTCCAAATGGCCGCCAACGTATCAAGGTAGGTCCGCCAGTGACGGGAGGATAGCAGTAGCATATTCTCGCCCGTGAAGGGTAAAATGGTCCATACGGATGCAGCCTTAACAGCATTAACGTCATTTCCTTCTCCCCAGCGCAACTACTTCCCCCAAGCTGCCACCCGCATTAAGGTCGTGGACTTTTCAAGTAAAAGCCTACACTAAAATTGCTCCGGACAAGTGCTCCGTCAGGAACGTCTCATTTCCTCCCATCTCACCGGAGCTAGTACTAGATCTTCTCTTCCCCCTCTATCATATCCTCAAGGCCTTACTCTGCATTGCTTCCCTGAGAAATCAAGATTTTCCATTTTTCCCTGCAAAATAATCATGTCGGACGCTTTGATCAATGGGCTCGCCGGAGCTGGAGGAGGGATCATTGCCCAGCTCATCACATATCCTCTCCAAACTGTATGGCTTCAATATTTTCCTTTCACTTTTTTTATGTTAACAATTTATTCTGATTTTCCTGAGCTGATCTACAGGTAAACACTCGTCAACAAACCGAGCGTGACCCGAAGAAAGATCAGAGGAATCTTGGAACTCTTGAGGAAATGTGCCAGGTCTCTGCCTTTACAATTGTTTAGCCGTATTGATAGTCTGCTTTCCTATATCGAAGCAAAGGGCAAAAAAAAAAAAAAAACTAATCTCACCGTCAAGTCTCTGATTAAACGGGGAAAAAAGATACGATCCCAGTGATTCTGTGTCTTGTATTGTAGCTAAACCGTGTTCAAATAATTGTAGTCAAAGTGCTTTCATAATTCGTGGTCAAGTAATCGTGTTTCTTGGGGGAAATGTAGGTGGTAAAGCACGAGGGGTGGGAGCGGTTGTACGGAGGATTGATGCCGTCGCTTGTGGGCACAGCTGCGTCTCAGGTCTGTGCAACTTGATGCTCTTTTAAAGGGGTTGTTCTTTACAAGTGGCTAGTGCCCAAGAAAAAAAGGGGGTTGTGGGGTGCAAAGAAAATAAGGACAAAAAGCAAGAACCTTTCCAGCCTTCAGACCTTGGAGTTTGGACAATTTATGGATGTCTAATTAGCTCAAATCTATTCATGCTATAAATAATGTTTGCTTCTGACTTGGTTTGGTACTGAAGACATTCGAGAGAAAAAAAACAATAAACTTGTTATGTGATGTATTATCAGAAGTAAATCTTAACCTAATGATAGGATTCTTTGTTTAATGTTGCATGATCTGTAATGGTAGTCTTTTCTTTTTAAATGAACAAGAGTTCTTATCAGCCAAATCCTGAGCAACGTATTTTATAGCAAGCTGTTTAACCTTTTCATTTGATTTCAATTCCAAATTTACTAACAATGTTTATAGTACAGGGTGTTTACTACTACTTCTATCAAGTATTCAGGAGCAAGGCTGAAGCAGCTGCTCTAGAACAGAAAAAGATTGGCATTGGTGATGGATCAGTTGGGATGTTACCCTCACTACTTGTCGCTGCTTTATCAGGGTAATATACCTTGTCTGTACAGAGCCTATGGTTGCGGCAGTTTCTTGTGCTGCAAATTTTAAAGCTTGGTTAAAGTAGTGGCCTTCACTGGTTACAACAATTTTGTTGTTTATAGCTGTAGAGTTTCAAGTCCTCTCACATTTGGCCTTGTAAATATGCGACTGGTCTTCCTATAATCATTGGCTACAAATGAAGTTGTTAAAACTGTTGATTATGCAAGTGTGGCGTGACTCAATCTGCTTGAGAAACCCTGTTTGCAGGTGTGTTAATGTGCTGTTGACAAATCCCATATGGGTGGTTGTTACACGGATGCAGGTAAATGGCTTGTTTATGTTTCTTACCCGCTCCAAAAAGTCACCCACGCCCCTTTATCATGTTTCTGACTAATTCTGTGATTTAGACAAGCTGATATCGATTCAATTTGTGGGAAAGACTATGCTTCTTCTCATTTGGTTTCAGATTTTATCTATTTAAAAAATATTACAAAGTTTAAAACCTTCTTTCACAGATACTGTTTTTTCAAAGAATTTCGTGAATCATCTGCTAAATGATCTCTTAAATAACAAATATAAAGTTGGAAGGGAGAGGTTTATGGATTTGATAGCTAGTTTGGGGCTTCCTTTTGGAGAATATTTTTTCACAGTTATAATCTACTGTTTCAGTTTTCCAAGGAATTTGAGAAAAGCTGTGGAATATAAACATAATTTCTCTCTGCTTTTCGCTGGCCTGGTTCACCAGGCATGTCTTATAGTCTGTTCTCTACTATTTCTAATGTTCAAAATTGTTTTCACTGTGCAGACTCATAGAAAAGAGTTGGAGAGAACCATGCCTGGTCATGACTCGTCTGTAGCCACAGAACAAGCAATTATTTCTGCAGCTGAACCTCCTCCTTATGGAACTAGTCATGTGGTAGGTAAAATCTATTTTTAACAGTAGCTCCCTACGGTTTTGGACTTCTAAATCTGTGCTTGCTTGGTCGCCCTTCTTGCAATTTAGACGGCACATGGTAATTATGCTTCTTAGGCTATCATTCACCTGTGAGAAAATGTTTTGTAAACTAAGTATAGTGTTTCGATTAATATGCTGAGCATCTTGACCATCTGGTCCATCCTATTTGGAAGAGATAATATGTAAATACTCCAATAAATTACTGGTAATTTTGATGAGTCATGTTCCTTTTTTTGTCAATTATACGGAATTTTATTAGGTCCGCTCTCCTTGTTCCTGAGTGACTCTTACTTCATGCATTTGGGACTGATCACTGATTAACATTGTGAGCTTAAAACCTGAACAGATATTTTTACTTGTTAAGTAATACAAATAAAAACATATAATTACAGATTCAAGAAGTGTATGGTGAAGCTGGAGTCTGGGGTTTCTGGAAAGGTGTATTACCAACATTGATCATGGTACGTTTAAGTGAATCCTTCTCGTGCTAATGGAGTAATACTGATTGGATGTCACTGATCTCAGGTTAGCAATCCTTCTATACAGTTCATGCTGTATGAAGCCATGTTGTCACGGTTAAAAAGAAGACGTGCTTTGAGTAAGAAGAGTAGTGATGGGGTTACTGCTTTAGAGGTATAGTCTTATATCACTTCCCTGCGTAGCTACACCTTTTTTTCTGGTTTATTATTCACACTTATATTCTTCAACATGTTGAATTGTTGATTTAATTGTCACTGCGGATGAACTAAATTGTCACTAGATATTCCTTCTTGGGGCTTTGGCTAAGCTTGGAGCTACTGTTGTAACCTATCCTCTTCTAGTTGTGAAGGTATATCATACTAACTTATTCAAGATGTTTTCAGTTGGCTAAGTGAGAATCTTTCGTTTAGCAGGATAAAAAAGAATGAGCAACTTGAAATTGTATTTGTTAAATTTCAGATATGGAGGATTATGGTATTATAGAATATAAATCACCACAAACCATGTAAATTTTCCATGGCAGGTGATTCTTGTCAAACAGTGACATCTCATGTAAATTAAACAACAGAAACCTTTTCTTATGCCATTGTGCTCCAACAATTTCCCATTTTTTAGATGACTTCCTTGAATGTCCTTCTTCACCTTCCTTCATCTTTGATCCTAAGGCTAAAGACCATCTGCGCAACTCTCTTCCTGGTGCTTTTGTCAGGGTTCGTTGCGCATTTTTGAGCCGTATAAACTGATTTTATTTTATATCATTTCCCCTTTGTTGAGAGTCATGCCAACTTTTCCTCGTATGTAGTTATTACAGATCTTATCTTTTTTTTGTATTACTACACTTCTATCTCAACATTTTCATTTTTGCTGCCCTAATTTTTTTGGTTTTCTTGCCCCCTTAATGTCCAATGTTCATTATTATATGTTAAGGAGCATTGATCAATTTGTACATTCAAATCACCCGTACTCTATCTGCAAAACATATGGACCACAAAATGCTAGCAAATGCCATATTGTTGGCTTTCAGTAATTTCTTGGACATACGTGTCATTTTACACAGTTCATAACTCACTTCTTATCTTTTACACAATGTTACTGCGGTTGATGTTGCACTATCATTTATCAAATATGTCCCGTCTGAAAAAATTCTACTGTCATATTCTTATGTATCATCTTCATGTCAATTCTTTGCAAGAAGAATGGAATGGGAAAATGGGAAAATGATTTGTGCTCCAAATGCTGTTCTGGTCTTCTTACTTGTTATGTTTGCTATTGTAGGCTAGGCTTCAAGCAAGGCAGGTCAAGACTGATGACAAGAGGCACCATTATAAAGGTTTAAGTTACAGTGATAATCATATCTTACCTGTGAATGATGGTCATAATTCAATTGCTGTAGGCTCAGTCTACCCCTCCGCCTTAATCATCAAAGAGGTTATTGAGTTTGCTTTGCTGAAGCGAACATGTGGCACGTTGGTTTTGTTCAATTTGATGATTAATGCAATCTCCCCAACTCACGTGCGCGCGCACACAACCACTTAAAAACTATTTCATGAAAATTTAGCCTCAAATCCTAATGTTTTGTTTGCATTTACTCTTTGGTTGAATTCCTTTCTGAAGTTGCATTCTTGAAATCCAGGAACATGGGATGCCATTATAAAGATGATCCGCTATGAAGGGTTTTATGGATTTTACAACGGTATGAGTACTAAAATTGTACAGAGTGTGCTGGCTGCCGCTGTTTTGTTCATGGTGAAGGAAGAGCTTGTGAGGGGGGCTCGTTTCTTGCTTGCTAAGGATGCTGTTAACACTGCGAAGGCAAAGCCTCTATGAAAGGAGATTACTAACAAATGATTCTTTTTCCAGATTGAGATTCCACGAACCATCTTCAACTGGAAGATTCATTCGCATAGTAGGAAATAGATCATATGGCCATAGAAAATTTGTACCTTCAAAAAAAACGATATTTTAGAAAGAATATCACCACGGATCCTTATTCCTTGCTATTTTCGTCAGATTCATATTTTGAGTTGCTGGAATCATTGAGTTGTTGAGTCCTTCTGCAGATTTCTGAGTTCAGACTCTACCCCTGATGTAGGAAAATGGGCCAGTCCACCCTTGGTGGATTGAGCCCAAGCCCATTAAATTTGGGGCTCTAATGCAAATAACATAACCTGTGGGTTTTAAATGGTTATTTGTAATTTTTCCTTCAAAATATGGATAAGGACAGACGGGGCGGTAGTTTTATTTTCAGAGATAGGATCAGTTTAAAATAAACTGATTCATTCAACCGGTTTTACTCTTCCCGCCTGCGTCTCTCCTCTCCTCCAACACAAAAGTGCATTTGCTGTGAACGTTGATTCCCATTCCATTGCTGTGATCGGAATTCCGCGCGTGGCTACCTAATCTGAGATTACTTGACACTTCAGGTATGCCCGAATACCATTACCTGGAAACACTGTATGGCCACCTGCTATGGAGATCTGATTCTCAGTCCATTTGATATGCCGGACAGAAAACCTAGAAATTGAACTCATGCCCGACATAGTATCTATAAACTGAACTCATCCATTAACAAGCCACTGCAAATGAGGAAATTGGAGACATGCAGTGCTAGAATGCCAACTCGATAAATGGAGTCCTGCAGGGGCAAAATGTCTCCCATTGCTTGCGTATTCGACTTAAACATAGCTATCGCATAAAATGAACATGTAGTTTAAACTAAAGTATGAGAATTTTGTTTTCATCAAAATCATGGTTTTAGTTATTTCTCATGGTAAAGCAAACATGTTCGCTGTGTGGTTCATAACAATGAGTTTGGATTATTTGGAGAGGACAAAAGAGTGTTATTGAAAATGTAGAAAATATTCTCTCCCTGTTCCCCCGTGATAATATTTCAAGGCATATTATCATTCAAGTTCTTTCGAAATGTTCATCAAAATTTCACCTATTTTTTATGTTGTTATTTTTGAACGACGGGGTGTAAGTATATGATGTTCTTGATCTGAACCTAGGATTTCATATAACAAGCAGCCGATCTCCATAATATTTTTTTCCCCAAGTCTTAGTCAAAACTTTGAAAAGCTAGGAAAAATCCATTCATTATCCGGGTTTAAGTTGTACGTTGATGGCTTGATCTTTTGGCTTTTCGGGCAATCTCTACATTTTTGTGGTTTTATCGTCTTTACTCTTTATATTCATTTATTTTGTGTGCATGAAGATGAAAGGACTTGGATTCTCTCCACTACCATTCCCATCCTCTTCCCCTCCACTACCCTCATTTTCTCTTCACAACCATTGGATCAAAACTCCAATGGTCCAGATTTAATATTTTATAACATTTTATAAAAATAAATATTATGATAAAAAATAGATAAATAAATTTAAACTGTTAAAATTTAATCTGAACAGTTCATAACTACAAACTGTTATTATAGAGCACATTTTTTCTAATTTTTTTTATTATAATTGTGAACTGTTCAGACCAGATTTTAACAATTTAAATTTATTTATTTATTTTTTAATAACATTATTTTTATAAAATGTTAAATCTAAACCATTAGAATTTTGATCCAATGGTTATAAAGAGAAAAGAAGGGTAGTGGAGGGGAAGAGGATGGGAAAGGTAGTGGAGAGAATCCAAATCCGAGAGGTAGGGGTGTTCAATTTGTCTCGTTCCGGTCGTCAGTTGTGGTTCTTGTAAGTTCAGGACAGCACGGGACGGGACAAAAAAAAATTCTGGACGGGACACTAATCGAGACGAGACGTGGGACGAGGTCGTCCCGTCCCGTTTTTTTTTTTTCTTTTAAAAATTATTTGTTAATAATTATTATTAGATTATTTAATTTACTTATTAATAATAATTCTTATTTTCATAGTATTTTTTGCTCTTAAATTGTAGTATTATCTCAATAAAATCTCCTTCCTTAATAAAATAATTCATAAAGTTATTATATAGTGTTTCTTTTATGGTGTTTTTTTTATAGTATCGTTTTTACACCTTTTTTATACTATATAATTAAGTTTTTTACATAATATCTTTTTTATAATATTTTTATCTTTAGAAACCCAATGAAAAATAAATATTATAACACAAAAAGTTCATATAAAAAATTATAATATTTTTTTTATATAAAATGGAGATGGGATACGAGAAAAAACTAGGACAAGATGTCCTGTCCCGTGAACACTCCCATTGAGAGGAGAAAAACCTCACTCTTGCCACTCGTAGTTTGCAAGAATAAATTTATTATATTTGAGTTTGTGTTTTGAGAACGTGCTTTTGTAACTTGAGTTAAAATTATTCTCATATTGTAATGATTGATGGTCTTCAAATACTTATTAAATATTGTATATTGCATATAAGTCTGAAAAATAAATTACATTAGTTACTGTATGTATGATGAGGAGGTGGTTGGTTTAGTTTTTGAAAAATAATTACGAGATAGGTGGTGAGAAATTTTGTCGAAAGCTCAAAAGCTCAAAACCACTTTGTACTGCTAGACTCCCCCCGGGAGAACTGGCGTTTGCGCGTTACACACCAAGTACAGATTGAGGCCGTCTTCAGTAGTAGGGCATCAGGCCCGACTCCGAGCCTGCGATCCCAAGCTAACCCAAGTGCGCTGAGTCTCTTCGCTCAGACAAGCTTTCCGAAAATGGCGTCCAAAGCTCCGAAGAAAGCTAATCTCTTGGATCATCACTCCATCAAACACATCCTCGACGAATCTGTCTCTGAGGTCCGTTCAACCCTAACCCTGCCTCGTTACCCATCTTTTCCGTACCAGATCTTATCGTTCTGAAAAGTCCTTTTTTTTAATGTTTAATTTAATTGTATAGTCGGTGGATTAATTGACCTTTATGTGTTTTTTTTTTTCCTTGTATAGGTAGTGACTAGTCGCGGATTTGTGGAAGATGTGAGATTGAGCAACGTTAGGCTGTTTATTGGGACGATCATTATTGTCATTGCTCTGTTTGCCCAGTTTTACAAGAAGTTTCCTGAGAACCGGGATCTCCTCATCGCCTGCATTGTGTTATATCCTTTTCCAGGCTTCGTTTTACTTTCTCTCTCTCTCTCTCTCTGACGTGATTGAAGAAGCTGTAGTAAACTGAAAATGCGCCCTTTGGTTTATTCATGTCTAAGAAATGACATTTGAAAAGGGGAACACTTTGGGCAATAGCATTTAAACAATCTGAAATTAACACTAGAGCTAAGCAAATTTAAAGTTACCGAGACTCTGTCATGTTGGCTATTGGTTATGCAGCGTGATAAAAAATTAAAATGAGATCTTAGCTTTTCGTTTTCTCATTTCTGGTTAAACCCAACGATGAGGTCGAAGGTATGTAATCTTAGAATTTTGAGGCCTCGAAATACGCCATTATGCATATGTTAACGTGGCATCATCTCATGGCTAGACAACCTTATGCATGAGTTCCTGCTCATAATTTTTGTTCTTTCTCATCTTTTTTAATTCCGTAAATTACTCTCAATCATCTGATTTTTATGTTTTACTGACATTGCTTCAATTGGGTTTTCATCCTTAACTCTGGCAAGTATATAGCCTTCAACGGGTTGTTGCAGTTGGTTACATACACAAAGGAGAGGAATGCTGTTCTGTTTACATATCCTCCTGTTGTGAGTTTCTTTTAACTTGAAAATCCCGTGTACTCTAGAATCCCATAGTCCCATTTATGCATGAGGAGTAGCTGCTTTTTTTTCGTCTTGCATGATTCCGATGTATTATTTTCCATTAAATGGTTCAACTTGAAACTTCTTTTGCCTCCCTTCAGCCATGTACGTATAATATCTAGTAGTGTTAGAACTTAAACACCTGTGCTCGCTCTTCTGCGTAAGGTTCACATGGCACTGTTAGAATATGTGGTATTTTTTTTTTTTAATCCTTCATTGAATGAAGGTTAGAATCTTTTCTCTTCATCTTTTATGTAATACAAATTAAACGGAAAAACAAATTTCTTGAAGTTCTATAGCTCTTCATTCTGTATTATCAACTAGGTGTGTGGTCCATCGATTTTGAATTTATTTTCAATTTATAGAAAGAAGAGAATGGGAATCATACTTTTGAGTATCTGACAGAGACATTGGCCATCATTTTTTTCACGAAAGTAGCGAGGCTGATGCTTCTTGTGGGTTGGTCGTGGCAGGATGTGCATTTGTATGGCCTTGAGATGTTTCAAGTTGCTTTGCTTCTTTAGAACGTGCCTGCATAATTGGGTGATTTCATCATCTCGCAATTTGATTTTTTCTAGCTGTAATTCTTTGTCCAGGCATCCTTCACCAGTACTGGATTGGTAGTCTCTTCAAAACTGCCTAGATTTTCTGACGCATACACACTTACCATAGCAAGTGCAGATCCAAAATCAATTTCTGCGAATGAACCAGTAAATTTTACCAAAAGTGTCGCCCGATGGTATTCCACCACCCCCCCCCCCCCAAAAAAAATTTGCTTTTGAAGCACACATTCCCTTTTTAAATCAGAGAATAATCGGTATGACTCTGTTTGGATCGCAGGTTCACCAAGGATGGAGTTTTGGTGGAGGGCCTCTTCTGGAAAGATGTCGAGGCGTTGATAGATCAGTATATGAAAGAGCCTAAGAAGGGCACGTGATCTATGTCGTGGCCCAGAATTGGGCTTGGCTCTTTGCTGGAGGCAGTGTATGGATGGACATGGTTATAAATATTGTTCATTGGAGTTTATAGTTTTATTCATTTCTAATACTCAGAATGCAGGGGAATTAAGCTTTTCACCAGCAGTAGAACGCAGTTACCTTCACAGGTCGTACAGAGGAAAGATGAAACCTGTAGTCTTCTCTGGGTTTTCTTGAAAAGACTATTATATCTATCTGCCTCTTCGCATATTCGAATATGTGAGAACAAAGTGGGGTGAGGTGCTCATATCGCCTGCTAAGCGGCGTCGTTTTGCAGAATTTGTAATCCCAGCCGTCAAAGTGAAACAAACGATCGCTACAGTGGACTTAAAGTCGCATTTGACTCCAGCGCCTCTGAATCTATCGTTATCCCGGTACCGTTTGGCTCAAGGAGGATTTCTTTCTTGATGGAATGAAAATGATAATTATTTAGATTCAATTCAGTGAGAGGAGCCAAATCTTCACAATCAGAGCGTGTAGTTCTGAGAGCGTTGGTGGCAGCTTTTGTAATCCGGGACGTCCACATATGAATCTCCGCTATCTCTACCTCCACAATTTTTGGTCTTCCTTGCTGATGCTTCTCACCAGAATCTTTGGTCTGCATCCGAAATATTTCCAGTTCCAATAGATAGCGGGGCCCCAATTTCAGGATGTAAGTGGTCTCAGAGTAGAAGATTCTGGCCTGGTGCCAAGCTTTGGTATTTCTGAGCCCACAACCTTACTAGCATTCTGTGGACGCAAGAACTCCAGAATAACAGAGCGATCTAAAGAATAAGAGATGAAGAACACCACAGAGGAGTCTCCCCCTTCCATGAGAGAAATAAGAAGCTGAGCAAACTGTTAATTGTCATTTGAGCTTTCCTATTATCATCTCTCTTGAAAATTTTCAATGGAACGTATATTGGGTGATCGTGGTGGGTCTGCTTAGCAAGAGAATCTTTCTAATGCGATATAATTTACATTCCGAAATAGGAACTACGCTGTGTAGCCATGGAGGTCAAAACTTATCCGGGGGTCAGGCAATGAAGGAAGAGACGCTTTACCAGCATAGTCTTAGCCCCGTTTATTTAGTTTAACAACATCTTATCCCCATTGGCCATTTAAACGACTTTGGTTTTATAAAGTACTTTATTGTTTTAGATAAATGCGTAAATGCTTATTACTAAATTATTCATAAATTTTAATACTCGTGATTACAAAAGTATAATACGATAAATATGTAACTTGGAAGGTAACTTATTATCCGTATAGTTGCTGAAAAATATTATTGGTGTTTTGTTGTAATTAGATAATTTGTGCTTTGCCATTGTGTTATGTTGCAACCGTTGTTAGGAGGGGAGGGGGGGTGTTAAGTAAAGGCAGCCCGCGCTATGACAACTGGGTTTGCAATCGATTCAACTTTTTGAGTGACATCGACAAGAACTTTGTGTTATAAATTAAGGATGGGAGGAACAATGAAAATGAAAGCGAATGATTCGTCGACAAGAAAGTAGTGAGATCGACAAAAGTGGAAGATTTTTATATTTATAGATGCTATCGTCCTCCTTTTATATTAATTTTTGGAGGAGATGATGAGATGCCTTCAAGAATGGACCCCGCGCGCATAAACTAGGAATTATTTTATTGTATTATTATATGCTTTGATGTGTGGAGGTATCACTGTAGATTTTTATTTTTCATAAATTTGGAACTAATTCGCGAAGGGCTCAGGAAGAAGACAAAATTAAATGGAATCCAGCGAGTGATTGCAACAGAAAGCTACCGGATGGCTTCAACAGTTGATATTGTGGAGGGTCAGATTTCAAAGTGGCTTCGCATGATATTCTGCGGCAAGCATGTGCCACTGGTAATAGAAAGCCCTATCCACTCAGATAATAAGGACACTATTAGATACTCTTCCGGTTATAAATATAAGACCCATTTTATAATATAATTTACACTATAAAATAGGTCTTATGTCTATGACCAAAACGAGAATTAATCAAGCAGTACCGAAACCGGATCCCTTTTTACATATTTCTGTGCAAATCCGGTTGTTTGCATTTGTATTAGGCGTCTGAAGTTAGAGCCCAGGGATGTTGCAAATTAAACTGGCTAGTAGCTGATTGGGTGATGATGGAGGGGTAGAGAGTTCTTGAAATGGATATTTTGAAGATGTGGCGCAGACCAACTTTTGGAGTCAAGTTGGAAGCTGAGGGGTAAAGAGACGCATGTCGCGTCTCTCTCGCGGGTCTCCACTCCACATTTAACACCAGCCTTCTCATGAGTCATACTGACATTCACTCTCAACCATCAAGGTTTTGTTGCCAATTAAACGCTGCTCACTAAATGATACTTCTTTCTAGATATGAGACTTATTAAGAATATTAACCAACTTAGTTATTTATAAAAAGGTATATTGATTTCCCTAATAAAATATCGTTATTTGCAATCAATTGGGAGAGTTTTTATCGGATCATTTGTATATACTGGCATAGGATTGGTGGGAAAGGGGTTTCTCCCATTTCCTTGCCGTCCACTTTTCATTTCCACCATCAATTTAACAGCATATATAGATACTTGGTCTTCAGAACGGAGAAAAAACGTGAAACACACCCCCCACCGATCTTTTGCTAGCGATGAGGAACTGCTCTCCCTATATGCTCTTTTACATTCTTTTGTTTGGCTTAAATTAGTAGCTCAACGGTACGTAATAAATAAATGAGACTATGTAATGATGAAGTGAGTGGAGTGTGGTTATGGCAAGAATTTCTAAGGGGACAAACCGCAACTACTCCTCGCTGCTCTCCAAAAACTAGCTATCTTCATAGTTCAACGTCATGTCCAAGACGCATGATTTATGATTTTTTTTTTTTGGATACAAACACTTGGCACTCGGGTTATTGAGATAATATTGAGCTAATCATGAAAGTTTGGCTGAGAAAGAATTGCTTTGTCTAAACTATGAACCTCATTTGTCCTGATTTTCTAAAACTGAACTTATTTAAATTTTTCCTCTCTGCCCTCTTTGTTCCTGATCTAATCTAATAAGGGATCAGTGCGCGGACATAAAAAGTAGCTGTGAATAATATCTTGTTGTGCTGTTCGACAGATCTCGCGGCATCCAACAGGCTTAATTTGCAACAAACAAGCACTACTCAAGTGTAAACCGTGAGGAGGGAGGAACACGAAAGGAAAAAGGTGTGGTTAGGGCGAAAACGAAGTGGGGAAACAGGGTACTCAAATCATGAAAATTCATAATGAGGGTGACTAGCAAGTAGTTCGGTCTAATCATTACATGGTTTATTCTTTGCTTCAATTGAAAGACAGGGAGAGGGAGAGAGTAAAACAATTTGGATACTTTTGACAAATGTGGCATCACACATAAACTTGATGGCTTTATGCTCTGCAAGTCAAATAAAGTAAACCTGCAGCTGCATGGCATTTCTTTTCCTGCAAAAGCAACCCCATCATTACTCCTCTCTTCTCACCTCACGTTCCTCACCCTCCTCTCGTCCCTTCTTCATCTAACTCACTGGTTTCAGCTGGTACGAAGTCAATCCAATAATACTTAAGGTACTGCTAATCACACTTATTGTCCAATCGGTCGAGACGTCGTTTCCATGTCAGTGGTTCAAACTGATTGAAATAACACAGTGTAATTAAAATATATAGAAAATTCATATATATAATATTTAATAAAAGATGCTCTGATTCATCAGTATATAAAACATTTGTTCCTTGAACTACACATAATGCAGCATAATGTACTTGCTAAATTACAAATTTATGGGCTGTTCCTTTTTTAAAAAAAGAAAAGAAAAGAAAAAGAAAAATCAAATGGAGCTTAATAATGGGAGGGTTTAGAGTATAAAATTCAACCCGATGAACTCATTCAGTTAAAAAATCATTAGTTCATTGATCAAATTGGAGGATGCGAGTTGGGTTTTCATGCCACGATATTTGAAAAAAGAGATGGTAACACGATGATACGAGAGAGAACAATAGCAATATGGATACAACTTCATGGTGTTATTCGCACTTCTAGATGACTGGCAACATCAATCTCGGCATAGGAGTCAACACATTATCTATAAGAAACTCTGAAATTTATTCCACCACAGAAAATGGTGGACAGACAGAGACTTTGAAAGTTGAAACTTATGCCTTGCTTCATAACGAAGGCCAAGTGAATAAGCACGCGTACGCACTGATATATAATAATACTACCTCCATTTTAAATATAACATCCACTTTTAGTATAATTTGCACCACAAAATATATCTCATACATAGGATGTAAGGTAGCATAAAGGTTTTCAGTTCCGTTAGATGATTAATATGTTTGCAGACATACGAGGAAAAAAAGGAAATTTTTTTAAAAAAATAATTACAATAAAAATATGTTGTCTTCTGTTTTTTTGTAAGTATAGTAAATCGTTATTAAAATATAAACAAGACTATTTTTAAATTTTAAAATTTTAAAAAAAAATTTCAAAAAAACCGCAGGCGGAAGTATTTCGATAAACCTGCATGATGTGATAAAAAAGTCAAAACAGTAGTCATTTCTATTACCAAGAAATTCATGCGTCAGATTAATTTGAAGTCCGGTGAACGTGTCGAGAATTTGATTTTTTTCCCCCCCAAAATTGTCTGAATTTTAAGGCATTAGATTATTTATTCAAAAGAAAAGGAAAATTGATCACCGCATAAATAAATAATTAATAAATAAGCGGTACTCACTCATCTTACGTGCTGATAATATATTGGCAGGCTGACACGGCATAAATTAGCTCAAACAATATATTATCATAAAAATATGTTGGGGGGTTTTATTTGGTGACCAGAGAAAATATGTTGATAGGATGACTTCCCCACTTTGACCAACGAAACGATATTGGTAGATTGGTTGTCAAAGCACAGGGCAAGTTTTGTGCCTTTGTCCTGAGCTCGACTCACCATCGGCGTCTTGTCATCCCAAGCTCATTAATCTTTGGCCTTCGCATCCTTTGCTACTCAACGAAACAGTCAAACCCTGCCCCTTTCTCTTTTGTGATTCATATACCCCCCACTTCGGGTCCAATCCAATCATTTCTCTCAAACTGTTCTCGTTCTCGCCGTCCGATTGTCCCGATTCCTTCAATCTTAACCGTCAATTAGCCCCCTCCCCCGATGTGCTCGGCTTCACCTTTTGCATCAGCAACTCGCTGCTCCCTTCCCCTGCTATTGGTCGGGACTGCGATTCATCCCCGATCCGATTGGCTCGTCTTCGGTGCAAAACTCGCTGCTTGATATTCCTCGACTTCATTGTTCACTGAGCAGTGAGCACCTCTCTTCTCTGTCCTGTTTCCTGCCAGAACCCTTATGCGCCTTCCACGTATATCGAATTTGCGGCGCTGTGGTTGGTGTGCTGGCCCTAGTTGAAAGTGCGATGGTCCGGCTTTGTTGCTTTTCGATGTAGTGAACTATCTGCGTCTTTTCTGATTTCAACGTGATCTTTCGTTTTAGTTGTTTCCTAGAGCTACTTTTCGCAGTGGGATTTTGAAGCTTCAGAACCGATCTTCATCGTCAGGTTTAGATCTTTGAATAGTTTCTTTAAGTTCAATCGTGAAATCCACTTTCTTCTTCTGTGGGGGTGAAATTTTTGGCCTTTCGAGGCATTTTCTTCATTCTTTTGTACAATTACAATTCTTTCTATGGATAAGGAGGATCGAAACGGGAGCAGAATGTGTGCTCGGTTGTCCGATGTAGTTCTCGACTGTGTTATGCCTTATATTCACGACCCCAAAGACCGGATGCGGTTTCTCAAGTTTGCCGGCGATGGTACGAGCTTGATTCGTTGACGCGGAAGCACGTCACAATTGCTCTGTGCTACACGACAACCCCGGACCGGCTCCGGCGAAGATTTCCGCACCTGGAGTCTCTGAAGCTGAAAGGGAAGCCGAGAGCGGCGATGTTCAATTTGATACCGGAGGACTGGGGAGGCTACGTGACGCCTTGGGTGAGGGAGATTGCTGAATATTTCGATTGCTTGAAGTCGCTCCACTTTCGGCGCATGATTGTGAAGGACTCGGATCTTGAGCTTCTCGCTCGATCTCGGGGACACGTCCTGCAAGCTCTCAAACTCGACAAATGCTCTGGGTTTTCCACGGATGGCCTTTACCATATTGGCCGGTCTTGCAGGTAATCTTGGCCAGTCGTTTTCATA